ATTTTGTCTATGGTCATCAGAACAGAAATCCTTCACTTTTGAAAAAAAAGAAATCTATCTACTCTTTAAAAAATCCTTTCTAATTCAAAATCAGTAAAATACTGTCCTACATTTACTCCTACTAGACTTCCAAGTCTTCCTTATACAGTTAAGTCTTTAATTAAATTTGACATTTTTTTTATAAAGGACATACAGTGTGCATCTTATTTTTCTACCTATGAATAGCCAATTTCTTAACTCTGTCTACTAAATATTCCATTCTTAGTCCAGCTGGATTGTGATGATACTTTATCATACACCAAATGTCCATTTGTAACTGGCCTGTTCCTGGGCTCTCCATTGTTCCCCTCTGAACCATTTGTCCATTCCTTCATAACGGCACCCACCGTTTGCTTTACTGTGCTTTGTAGTAAAATGATGTTTGGTAAGTCAATTCTCTTTCCTCTTCTTTTTCAAATGTTCTTTACTTGTGCATTGACTTATATTCTTCCATACACATTTTATTTTATTTTTTTTAAAGATTTTATTTATTTATTTGAGGGAGAGAGAAGGAGAGAGTGAGTGGAACACAAGCAGGGGGAGCTGCAGAGGGAAAGGGAAGAACAGGTTCCCCGCTGAGGAGGGAGCCCGATGTCAGGTTCCATGTAGGGCTCAATCCCAGGACCCCAGGGCCGCAACCTGAGCCAAAGGCAGATGCTTAACCCACTGAGCCACCCGGGAAGCACCCTTCCATATTTTTTAAAAGCAGTATGTCAGTTCCTCATAAACACAAATTCAGGACTTTGACTGAAATATTGAATGTGCACATTAATTTTGAGGAGATTAACATATTTATGTTATTATTCTATCCATGGACATGGCATATTACTTTATATCTTCTTTTATGTACTTCAATATTTTTTAGTTTTCTTTGCAAAGATCTAGTGAATTTACTATTGGGTTAATTATTGGACATTTAAAAACTGTTGGTATTATAAAGGAAATTAATATTTTAATTATTTAGTATTTTTTAGTATAGGAAATCCTAAATATTCTATACTGCTGGTATAGGAAAACACTATTTTTTTAATTGACATTTTATCTTACATTTTTTAAGACACTTTGATGGGACTTCAAATGAGTTACAACTTTGCATCTTCTTCTACCAAATAATGGAAAGAAAGACTACCACTTCCCCAGCTAACTGAGGCTTGACAATGATTAAGCAGTAGATGAATCTGGGAGTTGCTCTCAGCTTTGCCAAAATGTGGTCACTAAGAATAAAGAGAAGGAAGTCTAAAGCATGGGTTGTAAACTCAAATACCTAGGTGGGCTAAATCACCGAGGTGTAAATCAGTAGGGAACTGTGGGACTGGGGTAAATAAGAAAGTACAGCCTCTATCTAAAAGAGGCAGACCCACTTAGCTTCAGCTAATTCTTGTCATGCAGCAATGAAAGCTATTTTTTTTTTTTTCACAAGGAAGGGAGTTTTATTGCACTAATCATGCAGAGTGAGCACGTGTTGAAGGCAGGGAACATTTCACTTTGCCTAGGATCTTGAGCAAGCTGAGTGAAGGTCTGGATAGGTATCAAGAAGCTGCTGATGTTGATCGAGATGTCGCTCCAGATGGATCCTGAATACCGTGTGAGGAAATTCTTGGCCCTCTTAAGAGAAGAAGGAGAAAGCTATTTTTTTATGTGTTCAGATTTTATTAGGAGAAGCCCTAAATCTTTGATTTTAAGATGTTAAGAAATTATTCAAATTTTTAAAAATATTGGATGGGCCAAAGAAATCGCATCTGTGTGCTAGATTTGTTTCACAATCTGCTGGTCTACACCCCCTGGTCTAAGAATGTTCTAAACGGAGGGACAGTAATAGGGAAGTAAGTGAACATCAACTCTGGACCTCACTCTTCCATTCTTTTCCCCCACCTTCACCCCATGTTGACTTCATTGTACAGGGTTCTAGTCCAGTCAGCCTAACACTAACCTCATAGGAAGTAAATTTAGAACTTGAGGAGAGGAGGAAGGTTGAGGCTTGAGAAGGTGTGAGCTAGACCCAGATCATACAGGCTGAGAACTCCTGAGAGAACAAGTGCCTAAGCTGGGACATGAATTGATGTATGACCTGCCTACCAGCTTCACCTGTAGTAGTTTGGTGCTGGAGCAATTCCAGCTCTTTCCAGCATGACCTGGAGATGAGCATGTTTGGACAACTGTCTCAGATCAAGATGGCTGCCATGAGCCCATGTTCTGGAAGTGAACCACCTCCCACAGTGTCTTGGGTTGGTATTATGGGGCTGAATTGTGTCCTTCCAACATTGAAATCGAATACTCAGTATCTCAGAATGTGGTTGTATTCAGAGATGTGGCCTTTACAGAGATCATTAAGGTAAAATGAGGTCATTAGGGTGGGCTCTGATCCAATATAATAATGTTCTTATAAAAGGAGATGAGAACACAGACACACACAGAGGAAAGACTGTGTGAAGACACTGGAAGAAGGTGGCCATCTAAAAGCCAAGAAGAGAGGCTTCAGAAGAAAACAGCCCTGCTGCACCTTGATCTTGGACTTCCAGTCTCCAAAACTGTGAGGAAATACAGTTCTGTTGGTTAAGCCCCCAGTCTGTGATACCTTGTTATGGCAGCTCTAGCAGACTAATACAGCTGTGTTCCTTGGAAATAGACTCTGAGATGCAGGGTTGCATCTGGAGTTTTACGGGACCAGTGTCAGGAAATCTTACACAAAAACAAGGAAGGCAGAATGAGGTAGAGGGAGAAATTGAACTATAATGAGGTTGCCACCAAGGTGGTGTTCTGGAGTTGGGATGGCCCTTCAGGGCTCTTTCAAAACAAGGCAAGAAAGCTTTTTTCCTACATAGGTCATTCTTAAGGTGAAGGGTGGTGCGAGGTGATTCCTCCCCCCCACCACTCCATTCCCCAAAACATTTGGGAAGGTCTGAAAATATTTTTGGCTGTCACAACTGGGTGTGTGTGTGTGTGTGTGTGTGTGTATGTGTATGTGTGTGGTGGGGGAAGCGTGCATGCATGGCATCTCATGTGTAGACCCCAGGGATCCCACTGCTAAGTATCCTATGATGCCCAAGGCAGCCCTTATAATAGAGAGCCATTGGTCCCAAAAGTCCATATTTCTGAGGTTGTGAAAGCCTGCCCTACATCAACAAGTCATTGGGCATGATGTGCTCTTGCAAGGACATAACCTTGGGTAGGTTCCTAGAGCTGATGGCAATTCCCAGTGAGCAGTCTGACGTCTTATGATCCCAGCAGCTGAAGAGTGAGTGTTTGTCATGAAGGGAGGGTCCAGGTAAAGCAAAGAGCCCTTTATCTGGACCGTCAGACTTCTCTTTCTTTCCTTTCCCTTTTTTTTTTTTTTTAAAGATTTTATTTTTAAGTAATCTCTACACCCAATGTGGGGATCGAACTTACTACCCTGAGATCAAGAGTTGCATGCTCTACCAGCTGCACCGGCCAGATGCCACTCAGACTTTTCCTTCTAATAAAAATAATAACCAACCATGTTCAGGACACTGTCTTGGGGGTTTTACCTATGTTATCTCATTTAAGCCACATGACAGGTCAGGAGAGGTGGAATTTATTACCCTTATTTTATAAACAGTAATCCAAGACCCAGAGGGCATTCATCACTCATCCAAGGTTATTGACCTCAAAAGTTACAGAACTGAAATCTGAATCCAGGGCCATCTGACTCCAAAGTCTGGCTCTGTCGCAAGCAGGGAAGACAACCTTTGGTAATACAAGAACAGTCTACACGGTACACAGAGGAGAAAGAGCATGGACGGCAGACGTCACCCAGAACGGATATAAATACAGCCCCCACATACCCGGAGCCCTGACATACCGTCCGGTACCATAAAGACATTGCAGGGGGCCGACTTTGAGCATGGGACCCCTGGAGGGGAGTCCTCTTCCATCTGTAAACAGTCATGGGTTACCAGAAATAATCCCTCTCATCAGGAGGACTCTCCTTTTTTTTTTTTTTTTGGTTGCCTCCTTGAGGAACATGCATGCACCTTGTAGGAGGTCCATGGACTTTGTAGGAGGACAACAGTAACTACGAAAAAGAAAGCAAGCCACGTCCCAGGAGTCAACAGTATAAAAATAATTTTTATTTGCTACTGTAAATAAAGTAGTGCAAAGAGTAGTTTGGACCCACAATATTGCATTACTGATTTATTTACTACCTTAGCAGCATACAGTGTATGGACAGTCTGCTCTTCCTCTTCTTCTCTCTCTCTGTCTCTCACACACACACGCATACACAACCCCCTTACACAGACTCAGGCAGGCATAAGGGTAGGGATGGAACTATGAGCTAAAGGCTTATTTCCTGCATATTCCACTGCCACCATTCTATTCTAACGGGTAATTCATGGAGAAGACTACAGGTAAATACTAAGAATTTTCTAAGTGGTATTTTATGGAGTCAATTGAAAAGGAAATGATATCCAACAATGTCATTAAATGATTCGGAAGCACAATCCTAGAAAAAGTCAAGGAGAAAAATGTAAACCCATTTACAAAGCCGTTGCTTTCCCTGCATTTCCAGCCACAACCGATTTCTTTCAAGGTGCCTTAGAACTGCTGGGTCTTGGAAGTCCAATTGAAATCTGCCTTTTGGACTTAGAGGAGCAGTGCTGTGGCCAACACACATCCCAAAAGATTCTCAAACTGATAGAGAGGTCACAATTTTCTGTTCTTTAATGAAAGGAAACAAATAAGTGGCTAAGGTTCTTAAAACACATCTCAGTGTATAAGGATTCAGATATGCCACAGGGCAAACCATAACCCCCTCATACACATAGTCACTAGGGAGGGACTCTGCCGTGACCCAGTCAACCTCGCCAACACACCCCTGTGATCAGGATGTTCCTTGTATTTGTTTGATAACCTTTGGTTTACCCACTGCCTGTACTGGGTACTTCCTTGTAATCAGATTTGATGGGGAAAAAAAAAAAAAAAGACACCAAGTGCAAAATTCGCATCCAGTTGACAAGACATGTAATGTGTTTCTCAGTATAATGCCCTAGCCCCAGCTTTCCAATACCAGCGGCTGTCGGGGTTCTCTCTCATCGGGAGAGACCTGGAGTGCACAGTTTACTCTCGAGGCTCTGCGTTATTACAGACGGTGGGCTGGTCCTGAACAGAGGCATCTGTAGCTGGAGTCACAGCTGGACTTGTGGAGAGAGGTGTGGGGTCTGCGGAGGCTCGGGCTGGTGTTGGATGGGAACCGCTGGCTGCAGAGACACATGGACAGCAGGTGCTGAGTACTCAAACCAGTGTAATGCAGGACACACAACCACATCTAGACCCTGCAAGCCAGGGCAGATGCTTCTGGTCCAGTGGCCCTGACACTAAGAGATGAGTAACTCTACACCGTTATCTAGGTTCCTTGGACTTTGGTGTCCCCTATAAAATGGAGGACTGGAATAGATGTTCAAGGATCTCTGAACCATTTCTGACGTCTTGGGATTCTAAGTTCTGGATTTATGCTGTGATGTCCAGGCAAATGTCTGCATTAAAAAAAAGAAAGAAAGAAAGAAAAAGAGAGAGAGAGAGAGAGGAAGAGAGAGAAAGAGAGGGAAGGAAGGAAGGAAGAAGGAAGGAAGGAAGGAAGGAAGGAAGGAAAGGGAAGGGAAGGGAAGGGAAAGGAAAGGAAAGGGAGGGAAGAAGGAAGGAAGAGAGAGAGGGAGGAAAGAAAAAAGAAGGAAGGGAAAGAAAGAAAAAGAGAGAGGAAGAAAGGGAAAGAAAAAGAAAAGAAAGAAAGGGAAAGGGAGAAAAGGCGAGAAAGAAAGAGAGAGAGAAAGGGAAAGACTCTCTGGTCTATGTTTCCTTGGCCATCTCTTTTTTTCCAAAGGTGTTGACACAATGAAAGCCACGAATTATACCAGTCAATCAGAAAGGAATGCTCATTTTATTCACATTCTTACTCTCGCTGGATGAAGTATCAAATTTGGTTTAAATTATGTTATTTAAATAAATGCATATAAGTCTTAGAAATTATAATTATTAGGTTTAATTATTTATCAATCTACCTTTAGTAAGAAGGTTGAACCACCGTAACTATTAGGGAAGCTTTAAAGTTTTGTACTTTATGTCAGCAGTTTTCAAAGGGCAATTTGGGTTCCCAGGGGACAGTGGGCAACATTGGTAGATGTTGTTAGTGGTCACAGCTGGAGAGCAGGCTGCTGCTGGCGGAGTGTGGGTAGAGGCCGGGGAGGTCACAGAGATCCTACAATGCATGAGGTAACCTGCCTACACCAAAGAACGATCTGGCTCCAAATATCAGTAGCTCTGAAATGGGCACACCCCGCTTTCTAGACCGAGGCTGAGAGGCACCCTGGTTCATAAGATCGTGGGATCTGGAAACTGGCCACTCTTCTTTATCAGTTATGTGACTTGGACAAAACCCTGCTCTCCTTCTGCCTTTAAAAAAATGGGGGAAATACGAGGCTCCTGGGTGGTTCCAGTCATTAGCGTCTGCCTTCAGCTCAGGTCCTGGGATGGGGCTCCGCCTTGGGCTCCCTGCTCGGCGGGAAGCCTGCTTCTCCCTCTCCCACTCCCCCTGCTTGTGTTCCCTCTCTTGCTGTGTGTGTGTGTCTCTCTCTGTCAAATAAATAAGTAAAATTTTTGAAAAAACTGGGGAAAATAAAAGTATTTACACCCATGCTGAATTGTTGCAAGGACTAAATGAGTTAATGTATACAAAGTGCCCAGAGGAGGCAGTTTGAGGACCAGTGTGACACATGGCTAACACAGTAGCCAGAGTTTGTGCAAACGACTGCTCACGAGTCTTTAATTGGGGATCTCACTCAAGCTCAGCGGTCCCCAAGTCTTAGACATGTTCAGTAGGTGGGGCTGTTTGTAATGGTGCCCAGTGTCCATCCTGGATTGTACCAACCCTAAGAAGATGACACCACATGGACAACCTGACTTCTAGATAAACTCTTCGAGGGTTCCATCTCCACAAGGCCATTCCAGAGACTTCAGAAACGAGCTCCAAAGCCTCTGGATGTTCTGGATATGGAATTTCCTAGGAACCCCTTCTCAGAGCTACAGAATATTTTGCAGATCCGGAGATGGTTTTGAAAGAACAGGACAGTGATGATGGTTGGTAGGATGGGGAACCAGGGTATTATATAACGATGTGATGTTTCTAGGTTAAAGCCATCACTTTGGTGGGTGATCTCACCAAGGCAGGGAGCGTGAGACCCAGTGACATGGCACAAAGACCATTGGCTGTAGTCAGGAGACCTGGTCTAGGCGAGTCTCATTTATCTGCCACTAAGAGTGACTTTGGGGTAGGTACTGAGTGGCAGACATTTCAGTACTAAAATGCTTGCATCTCATGGGTCTCAATGTCCACATCTGTGAACTGAAGGGCTTAGATTGGATGGTGTCCGAGACCCCCTTGGGGCCTGAGATTTATGTTTCTGATGATCTCTGAGGGAGTTCACAAAGTACTAAGGCAAGCATTTTTTTTTTTTTCCCTTTCAAGCTCTGGAAAAAAAAAGTTTGAATCACCATGGTAACAAGATAAATCAGCAATCAGTTTTCTGATTAAAACAAAAAAGTGCCAATGTGTAAATGTAGAAGGAATGCGTAATTAGCATTGCCACCATTTAAATCTTCTCATAAGAAAGAACATAATAAAAACGCTTGATGTTTCTACAGTGAATCTGTTATTACCCACATGAGAACACTCTCCCTTCCAACAGGGGGTTCGCAATCACTGGATCAAGCCCCCCACAGCCTATCATAATTTTAAAGTGGCCTTTTTGTGTCTGCTCACCTGAAATGTGTGCTAATTTGATTACCAGCCTGGAATCAAGGTAACCAGGAAAATAAGCGTGCCGTTTCAAAAATTACAGAGCATATTCCAGAGCCAAATCGAAGTGATTTTTGTATTACCTGACACTTGGGGGAGGGGGACCATTTTCTGTACCTGAGTGAGACTAACTGAAAGCTGGCCCTAAGAGGGGTAGACCAAGGTGGGACAGACTCCAGCCCACTGGCCAACCAGGGCTCACTGCCTCTTTTTGGATGGTTTGCAGTCTACGAATGGCTTCTCCATTTTTAAATGGTTGAAAAGAAATCAAGAGAGGAGTAATATTTTGTGACAGGTGAAAACAAAAGAGATTTTGCTTTTCACATCTGTAGTAAACTTTAACTGGAAATGAGCCACTCCCACTCATTTTCATGCGCGCTCAATGGCCACCTTAGCCCTATAATGAAAGCCAAGTAGTTGAGATGACCCTCAAAGCTCCAAATGTTTATCATCTGGCCCTTTGCAGAAAAGGTTTACCAACCCCTGTTGTGGACCATTGTAGGAAAGAGTTGTGCTTGCCAGGTGGCCAGATGGGAGCATAAAAGTAAAGAGTATGAGGGAATATACTGGGTCAGTCCCGAGTTAATAGAATGTTTGCAAAGATGGCGTCCAAGGGGAAGGGAGCAGAGAGGGGGAAGCCCCAGAAATCCTACGCAATGAAGATCTAGCCTACTTCACCTGGGCCTCTGGATCTAGCGGGATCCCAGGACAAGTATAAGATTCATGTCATTTCAACATTTCTCATGAGGAAAGCTACTGGGTCAGCGCCAAGGGTGATGAGAAAAGTGAAATCTCTCCATTAAATAGCTCTGACTTGAAAGCTACTACTTTTTTCATGAACGCCCCTTTCTGAGATTTCACTGTAATTTTAGGAGCAGCCTCATTCACTGGAAATGTAGATGACAGGAAAAGAGCAGAAACAGTTTCATTAATCTTGGTCATATCATCCTTCTTGTTTTCAAAGTCCACTGCACTAACCACTTGGGCAGAAAGAATGATTCGGCCTCAATTCTGGCTGTTTTGAATAGAACAACATTGGTTTAAGAGGTTACCTCGTCATACCCAGGGCCTGCTAGTTCAGCCAGGTCTCGCTCTATGCTGTGCATTCTACCGAGACATCAAGTTTCCGGTAAGACTGGTAAGGCAGGACTCTTTCTGGAGGGGTACCTTCCATTTTGTCCCCATCCTCTCTTTGCCTTCCTCCGGGCAGCCAGCCAGCCCCCATGCTTTCTCAGTCTCTGGGGGGACTTTTGTTTGGTAGGGACAGAAATGGAAATTGTTCTAGACATACTTTGCTTGGGAATTTTTTTTTGTTGTTTTTTTTTTCCCCCCCAAAAGCCCGAGTCCATTAAGGCAATTATGCTTGGTGGCCCCAACAGGGAGGGGAGAGGAAGAGCGCTTCAGAGACTCAGCGAGGTAGGCAGAGGAGTGTCTGGAGCCTGGGAAAGTGGCTGAGCCTGGTTGTGTGTTGTCCTGGTGGCAGCAAAGTCCTCACCTCGTGGCCCCTCAGCAATCTCAGGAAGAAAGCATGGGGGGACAAAAGGTGAACTGCAAAGCCGATGGGACTTCTTGGTGACCAGAAGCTGCAAAGCCAGTGGACTTGGAGGGACAGAGGCGGCCCAGGGCAGTGTGCATTCTGCTATCAGGCTGGCGGTCACATGAGCGGTCCTGGCGCCACCCAAGACCCAGGGATCCTGGAACTCCTGGAACTCTTGAGATCCTCGGTCTCAAGAAAGACTGAGCTGCCTGGTAGAATGCCAGCCAGGAGACAAAAAGAAGTCCCCTTAAAGGGCACAAGAGATATGCGATATTTTTCATATATTTGTCTTGGTTCTCCTGAGAGCCTGGTCAATATCTTTCAGATGCTTTAAAAAAAGAGTTTGATGTTTTAGAAAGAGTCTAACGACACAGAAAAACCCACGGGGCTCTGGGAATTGTGTCTGTTACTGGTTCAGCCCAAGCCAGGTAAGTACAGATGCCACTTGGTGTCGGTGTGCTTTAACTGCAAGTGGGATGCCCCCAGGGTATTAGCTGCCAGCTAACATTTGTTGAGTTCTAAGCACTTTACACCCTGTAACCTGGTTATTGGCTTCCTTCAACTACAATGGCAAGTAGGTGTACTGCTATTGCTGCTACTTTACAGAAAGGGAAACTGAGGCACAGATGGGCTCCCTCCCTTGCCCAAGGTCATGCAGTGAGTGTCAGGGCCAGAACCTTGGCAACATGACTCCCGAGCCTGTGGTATTAGCTACTGTCTCACACTGCTAGCCTTCTGAACACGGGACAATTTAGTGTGACAAACGCGGTGAAGTGTGGACTATATATCACAGATCATGTAAACTCAGGAGGCAAAGGAAGGTAGTTGGAGCTGAAAGCAAAATGGATAGACAGTTCAATTTAGAAGTTTGGCCATAAATCACTAATTTTTAAAAACAACTGACCAGAAAAATGCAAATCGCGAAATGACAAAGATGCCTCACTTAGAGAAGAATCCTTATACAAGGCCATTTAAGGGAAGCTCCTAACTTTCCAGTCTGGTCCCTCTTAACTGTCACTCAGCACCCAGACTTCATTCCTGTGCCTGCTTCACACTAGCATCCGCTAGAGGGCACCCCTTTCCCCAGGGCAGGTCAGGAGACCTCAGGCATCATCCTGGTCATGGGCCAGGCACCAATCCCAGCAACTCTGCCCTCTGACCCACTCTCCTGCTCTTCTGTACCCCTCTGGCTCCTGCCCCATTGCCCAGGCACTGAAAGAGCACCTTCCTATTTCAAAATTTGGCTTTTTAAAAAAGTTTTTTTTTTTTAAAAAATCATTCATTAGAGAGACAGAATGAGCAGGGGAGAGGGTCAGAGGGAAAGGCAGACTATGCACTGAGCAGGGACCCAATTCAGGGGCTCGAGCCCAAGACCCTGAGATCATGACCTGAACCAAAGGCAGAGGCTTAACTGCCTGAGCCACCCGGGTTCCCCCTATTTCTAAGTTACTGACAAATTTGCATTTATGTTGAAGACTTTAAAAATATGAAAATAATGTACTATGTATTTTAACTCTTTACACTAGTTCTAAGAGGGCTGGTAGGCACCACTTATAGCACGTTTTGGAAGCAATGTGGAGACCTTTTTTTTTTTTACACTTCTAGGCCCTTCCTAGTCAAAGTGTGGTCCATGGACGCCACCTCAAATCTCGTTAGAAATGTGGAATCCCAGAGCCAGTCCCTGGACTCACTGAATCAGAATTCACATTAGACAAGTTCCTGGGGTGATTCCTGTGCACATTATAGTAAAGAAGTATGGGGCTAGAATTTACATACTGAAATATGGGTCATTTTAATATAATTCATTTCTTTTTATTTCTCCTTTATATTGCTGTTAGGGTGCTACTTTTTAAAATATGTGTGTGGTAGGCAGGATAATTATCATTCATTTCAAGGTCCCAGAAATGTGCTACGAAATATTTTTCATACAAGGGAACAAGGTCAAAGGCAGAATGGTAACCGCTGTTTTAAAATACTGTTGACCCCTGAATAACTCAGGTTTGCACTGGATGGATCCACTTGCACAAGTTTTTTGTTTTCTGTGTTATGTTTTGTGGTGTTGTTGTTGATAAACATAGGACAGCACCATGAATGGACTTTCCCCTCCTTCTGATTTTCTGAACAACGAATTCTCTTCTCTAACTTACTTTAATGTAAGAATATAGAATGTAATATGTATAACAGACAGAATATGTGTTCACCGACTGTTTATGTTCTTGATGAGGCTTCTGGTCAACAGGAGTCAGTAGTGTAGTTTCAGGGGAGTCAAAGTTACATGCAGAATTTTAGCCACAGGGTAGATCGGTGCCCCTAGCTACCCCCCTCCCAACCCCAGTTGCTGAAGGGTCAACTGTATCACGAGTCTGAAAAAGTTTGAAATCCTGCTGCCCTCTGTCCTTTCTTGGATATCATTTTGTGATTTGGGGCAGATCCCTTCATGTGTTTGGCTTCAATCTCTTCATGTGTAAAATGAAGGGCATAGAATTAACTTAACTTTAAGAACCTGTCCAGACTTGTCTAAGGCCAGCAACACAGAGGGAGGCACCCACAGGAAGTGAACGGGTTGGCAAAAAATGAAGAAAACGTGAGAAAGAGCAAAGGATACTCAGCAAAGGGGAAAAAGAATTATCAAAGGGTAGGAGGGACAGGGAGGCGAGAATGTGGAGAGACTGATAATGCAGACAGGAAAAAGAGATGGCTTCTGATAAAAGCAATTCCACCAGCCCATGAATTTTCATGGCTACCAGCTGGCATAAAACCATAAAGACAATTTTCAGCTCCTCTAACGGAATTGCATTTGTAATAATCATAACAATATTTCTACAGAGTAAAAATGACAAAGATAATTTGAAATGGAAAACACTGACAAGATGCAAAATAAATGTGCTCTACCTGGCAACAAATTTAGGGACGGGACAGAATTTGCATGAGGAAAATTTATAAGCCAGCATATGACGGGGCATCAAATCTGGCCAAGTTTTGATGGCTCCTTGTTAACCTCCTCAGGTAAATCAGAGGGAAATGATTCTGCGCTAGCCTCTTGCAACAGAGACTTCCTTCCCACCGCCAAATCTGTGGCGAGACGCACTCCTTTGGCTTTTCATTATCTGCTACATGGATAGGGGCTGAGCGCGTGTTCCAATGCCATGTCCAGTCCTAATTTTGCCCATTTGTAAATGTCCTGCAGCCGTCCAAGAGGGCGGCAAATTGTAATTCTCCACCGACTGAGGTTTGCAACTTTGAGCACCTACTAAGTGTGAGATATCCCACACGATGCACTAAAGCCTTCCATCGTATGTCCTGATAGGGGAGACGAACGTGAGTTCACATTTGCTCAGAGGGTTTTATACACCAGGTAAATACAACGGCCGAGACTACCTGCAGTAGTCACTTTGGTAACTGTCATGTGTGTTTTTCACCAAAGCCTTCGAACATCCCTGGGAAATAGCAACTATTATAACCTAATTCTACTCTTGGAAAATTGGGAAATCAGGAAGGTGAAATAACTCGCCGTAAATCACACCACGAATGAGCAGCCGAGCCTGGACTCCAAGCCCGCTACTCCAAGCTACGGTGGGTGTCCATCTCTTTAACGATGGCCCTACGTGAGCTTGGAAAAATAACAGGGACCGGAGGAAATCACACTAAACTAACTGTCACTTCATCTTCCTCCTCAGCCCCTCCTTCTGAATCCACATGGCTGGGTATTTTTACTCATTGTGAGGGCTTCTTTATCATCCCACACATTTGATTCCTTGACTGGAATAAATAGGAAGAATTCCTGCTGGAGGGGGCTTCAGAAGCTGGGTTCTAGGGCAATAGAGGTAGGATATTGATGCTGGATGTATTTTCAATGGGAGAAGACATCTTTTGTTCAATTTCTAAAGCTTCTTATTTAAGAAAAAATCCTTGCTTACTTTGACAAATATGACAGTAATTGGGACCTTCCATCAGCCAGAGATGATGGTACCCCCTGGGGGAGCCCACCACGCCATGAAGGACCCATCTAACGAAAGGAAATAGCGTGGTCAAAGGCATGAGGAGGGAGATCATCTCTCTCTCTCTCTCTCTTTTTTTTTTTTTTTGGTAGGGAAAAAGAATCCCTCCATTTTTATCTTGCCCCAGCTTCTTAGAAATTTTTACCTGAAACAGACTGGAAATACTGCATGGTCCAGGCGATCAGTACAGACAGTAGGAAGGTTCCCAGAAAGTAGATCTGCAGAATCCGAAGCACGAGTCAGATGGCTGATGAAGGGCAGGGACCTCAAGGGCAGGGCTGGGGGAGACGGCACCTACCAGGGCAGAGCGCAAGATGGCGCCCCAGATGAGCCGCAGGTGAAGGTAAAGCCAGGCCAGGGAACAGGGGCTGAAGGACTCCTCGCTGCTCTGGTTCCAGCACCTACGGACAAAAAGAAAGGGAATCCGGAGGGATCGGCAAACCTCAGGGGCATCGCCCATGACCCACGTTGTCAGATCCTCAATCCTCCCCTCCTGCTTTGGGGAAACAGGCACGCTTGAGGTGAAAAAACAGAGACATGAAGCCCATTCTAAAGGGTTGGGGCCCACCCTGAGATTCCAGGCTCCTGGCTGGAAAAGATCAGTCCTGTCCTTAATAAAAAGCTAGTGGGTCGGGGCGCCTGGGTGGCTCAGTGGTTTAAAGCCTCTGCTTTCGGCTCAGGTCATGATCCCAGGGTTCTGGGATCGAGCCCCGCATCGGGCTCTCTGCTCAGCGGGGAGCCTGCTTCCTCCTCTCTCTCTCTCTCTGCCTGCTTCTCTGCCTACTTGTGATCTCTGTCTGTCAAATAAATAAATAAAATCTTTAAAAAAAAAAAAAAAAGCTAGCGGGTCAAGAAGCCGCCAGAGCAATACTCCTGTCTGAGTGCTGGTCCAGAGTGCGGACACCAGAACCCTTCCCTATCCTGCAGAAAGGCATGGTCTAATCAGACACATTATTCTTTCCATTCTCATGGAAAACCTTGGTCAGCACTTTAACTTCTGATCAAGCACATTCTGTATAGTAAGCCTCAGATGCTAAAAAGGGAAATAGTTTGGGTCCAGCTGAGTGTTCTCGAATCAGAACAAATCCTGAGCCCTCTTCATAACAACTGGTGTTACATAATAAGAGAAACTGACTTTAACCAAGAAGCGAACACCTCCCACTTGGGTTCCCCCAGATTCCACAGCATTAAAGAAGGCTCCAGACTCACCTTTCATACAGTTCCTGGAGGATGGAGATGTTATTAGAATGGATAGTTGGGTCAATTTCCAAGAAATCCAAAATATGGTGTGGGATTATAGCACCTTCCTCAATGAGCAGAGCCAGGTTAAAAAAACCCTGAAAACAAGCCACAGACCAAACTCATCAACTCCTTATAATAAACCCCAGACACAGACCCTTCATCAGAATGTAAACTTTTACAACCTCTAGGTTGTTGTTTTGGTTTTTTTTTTTTTTTTTTTAAGTCCCTCAAGCCAGATGGTTTTGTCATCTTCATTGATGGATTGTTTCCCTAAATATATGCATCTGAGAAATTTATTTGCAGGAGAACCAGGAGGCTTTCAGAAAATGCTGTGTCCCATCTGCTCAGAAGCCAGTCAACCAGGGGAATCTGTCCTTTCCTGCTCACTCCCTCAAGACAGAACTCCCTGGAAAACGTGCCCTTGTGTCATCAACAAACCAGAATACCAAGTTGAAGGCAATGTCTATCACTTACAGATTACACTCTGGGATACCATCAGCATGTCAGAAATTGAACAGAATGTTCTCCTGACTGGCATTCTAACATAGAGAATCTGTCTCTTGCACAAAGTCACATACAGGGGTTTGTCTCTGCTCTCCCAGGCCAGTGTGGAAAACTTCTTCTCACTATCCTCTTGGTACAGCTCCACTCAGATACAATTCCCTACCTCTTCCTGTTACATACCTTGTTCTCCACCCTCTGAGGTAGAACCTGCTTTAATGGGCTGTGCAGATCTAATGTAAAAAACCAACAGAGTTAAGAGCCTGACAGTAGAGGAGCTTCATAAAGAATGGGAGGTGCTACTCTATCTGGGGAGAGGCACAGTCCATCAGGAACAGAGCATGTGGCCGGACAGAGAAATCAACAAAAAATGATGTGTTACTTACCACTAGGGATTTACAAGTGAAACGGGATTGTTGCCCTTCAAAGAATTCATGGTCATGTTTTAATGACTTATATCCTCCCTTTGACCTTTCATTTCAGTTGCCACAGACAAGGATCTCAGTGAAAATCACCCCCAGCAGGTTCTATATGCGAGGCCTCTCATTACCATCCTATGCAATAATCATGAAAACATAACAGCAGCTAACATTTTCTGAGTGATGCTATATGTGAGGCACAGTTCTATTTATATATATACACACACACATATGTGTGTGTGTGTGTGTGTGTGTGTATATTTACCTAATGCTCATAACAGCAAATTGAGATAGGTACTATTAGCCTCTCTATTTTATAGGTGAGGATGCTGGGGCACAGAGAGGTTAAGGAAATTGCCCAAGGTAACACAGCTGGACAGGGGCAAGACCTGGAATTCAAATGCAAGCAGACAGGGTCCAGAGCCTGAAATCTTTACCTTCATTATTCTGTCAAACAACCTCTGAATAGATGAAAGTGTTGAATCTTTGAGATGTACACAAAATACACACTTACAAACACGGAGAAAATAGACTCTTTCTCCACTCTTTAAAAGGAACGTACTCTTAAATTTGAGATATTAGAAGAAAAGAAAAAAAAATCACTTTTATGATTTTAATGCCTCTTGGAAAAATAGCAAATTAAAATAAATGGGAAAATAGACTAGGGGAATATTTGTATGCAATGTAATAGCTTAAGGTCCATTATCTACTGGGCAAATGTATAAAGAACTAATTATGATTCAAATGGGGAAAAAAAAAACCAGTATCAGGGATGCTTTGGTGGCTCAGTCGGTTAAGCGTCTGCCTTTGGCTCAGGTCACGATCCCGGGATCCTGGGATTGAGCCCCGCATCAGGCTCCCTGCTCAGAGGGCAGTCTATTTCTCCCTCTCCCTCTGCCACTTCCCCTGCTCCTGCTCTCCCTTTTACTCTGCTCTTTCTCTCTCCCAAATAAATACATAAAATCTTAAAAAAAACAAAACTATCAAACCTCCAGTAGATAAATAGGAAAAGAACATGAATAGAGAATCCACATGTATCATGAGTAAATGATCATAAAGTCTATGTAAAAATGTGCATTGCCACTAGTAATCAAACCAATGCGACATAAAACAATAAGGAAGTTATCAACTTATAAATATTTCACTAGAATAATTGAAAGTGAAGTCATGAAAACATCCCATGCTGACAAGATTTCAGTTCTCTTCTCACACTCAACCACTGCTTGGTAAGGTATTCCTTGGAAAACCCTTCCAAAAAGCATATCAGCCATATGCTATTATTATGTAGCCATGAGATAATTTCGACTGATTGACTCAGTCATACAAGCCTTCAGATTATAAAGAAATTATTCAAATGGAGATAAAAGATGGAGGTATGAACATGTCCACTAAAGCACTCAATAGCTTTGCAAAACAACAGGAAAAGGCCTCCGTGTCTTCCTTAATAGACTATAAATCCCAAAGGCAAAAATATTGTCTATCTTTTTCTCTCCCATCCCCACCACGAAGAAGTGTCTAAGACATGGCAGGATTGAATAAATGGGTGCTAAATCAATGAATAAATTAGCAAATGGGAATAAACGTCCACCAATAAGATAAAACTTAATAAATTACAGCCATGCGCACAACAAAATACGGGGCAGAGGCTAAGAATAATCAATAATTACAGAGACTATGCAGTAAAATGCACACATCCCTGCAATATGAGAAAAGAGATGCATTTCTTAAGGGGCACAGACACTGTTGTTAACTTGCTTGTAGACAGCAGCTGGAGGGGGATGGGAAGACAGGAGGGAGTAAAGCCCCCACCATGGAAATGGGCTGCATCCTTTAATTTTTATTTTCCTCTAAAATTACATTTTAATGTTTGCATAACATTGTTTGTCCAAAAAATAAACATCAGAATCGAAAATAAAATAGGTCCCCTAAATTTGAGTGCCAACAGATATCATTGAAGGGAGGTTGGCTCTATACCTAGTCCTTTTAGCATCAACTCTGATTAGTTCCAGAAGAAATAATTATAGGAAGGGTCATGTCCATTGAGTGTACTCAGTGCTGAATGTCTAATAACATTCAATCCTCATCCCTATGAGATAAATGCTATTATTAACCCGTTTCCAAATGAGAAAACACCAACTTGGTGATTCAGTGACTTGCCAGGTAGGAATAGCAATGAAGTGGTAAAGACATGGGGTTTAACCCAAGTAAAGAAACACTCAGATATAGTACCTCCTTAAAAAACAAAAACAAACAAACAAACAAAAACTAAGATAGGGATGAGATTCCAACCTTTGCTCTGTAATCAAACCCTGAAGCACAACACCAGAAACCTGGTGTCTAAGAAGACATCAAGCATGGGGCACCTGGGTGGCTCAGTTAAGCTTCTGCCTTTGGCTCAGGTTATAATCCCAGGGGCCTGGGTTGGAGGTATTGGGCTCCCTGCTCAGTGAGGAGTCTGCTTCTCCCTCTCCCTGTGCCCCTCCCCTTGCTTGTGCTCTCTCATTCTCTCTGCCAAATAAATAAATAAAAACTTAAAAAAAAAAAAAAAGGAGGCATCAACCATTGTGACTTCCATTGTGAAAATGACCCTGAGATTCTCACAGGAGAATTCTGATTAGCAAGTGTCAGAGAGAGGGAACCACAGGATCATCATGACCACACTAATGATAGTTGCGAGCAAGATCTACTAAAGGATGCTAAAACTAGTGGACAGAAATTTGAGGAGAAACAGAATACATGCAGAGTTACAAACGATTTCCTCAGGGTATATATAAATTAGAAAGGAAAATGTTAACTTTATAGGGGAGAAACCCAGCAAAAGCTAACATAACCAAGCCACACCAGTAATCAGATATACTAACGTCATATATGTCTCATATGATACACCAAGAAGGACACATCACTTCTGTGCTTTCCTTGCTCAGAATGCATAACTTCATTCCATTCATGAGGCAGCAGAAGACAGAGCCAAATTAAGGCACAGTCTACATCATACGCAACCAGTGTTGTTCCAAAGTATCAAGGTCATGGAAGACAAACAAAGACTGAAGAATTATTATCGATTGAAGAAGACTAAAGAAATAGGACAACTAAATGTGATGTGGGAGCCTGAACGGGATCCTGGAACAGAAAAAGGACATTAGTGGAAAAATGAGTGAAATCCAGGGGAAAGCCTCAAGTATACCTAATGGTACTGAAGCAAGACTGACTTCTTAGTTTGATAATGGTATTGTGTTTATATGCAAGACAGTCACATTCAGGGAAGCTGGGTGACTGGTATATAGCAACTCCCTGTATTCCTTTTGCAACTTTGCTATACATTTAAAAATCCTCTAAAATAAGAACCCCCCCTCCAAAAATCACCAAGAGCAACTTCCTATCACTGAAGTGTGGGTCCAACTCTATGAGCAAATCACTTGTCATTTGGACCACACTTCCTATTTCTTCAGTTTCTATGGAGGAGTTAGTTTGATGGGATCTTGTAGAAAGACTTCTGGACATGGAGCCAGCAGACGTGGCTTTAGGATCGGGCTGCTTTGCGTGCTACCTGATTGGTTGGCCTTGAGCAATTTATCATCTGATTGTAGTCTTGCTATCCTCCACTATAACTATAACATGGTCATAGTCATCTCCACCTTCATGAGATGGTTATGAAAATGGTGTGGCAACCATAGCAAATGCTCCATAAAGGTTCCCCATTAGGGTTCATGTCCTCACAGAGCTGTGAGAATGGATGAGAAATGACTTCGTGAAAGGGGAAGCAGATAAAGACGGGAGGGCTTGGGAAGACCCCAGCCAGGTCTTGCAACTTCACAAACAGACATCACCCAGGGCTCCTTTCTGTGGGTTACCTGTGAGTCTCCATCCAGGGCTGCCTGAGCGTACATCTGCACGGACAACTCAAGGTCTTGAGACTGGTTTTGGTGGCCATAGTAGTAAAGGTCTCCCATTTTCAAATATGCTGCAGGACAGAAAGCACAGGCCCATTTGTGAAGTGGTTTTATTTGAGACCAATGTTTTAAAGGGTTGGCCCAGTCACATGACTGAGAATTTTTCCTACCAGGACCTGAACACACAACATCATTGTTTCCTTGGTATGACAGGAAGTGGGGGAACGAAAACCTTTTGTGCCGAGCACCACCATTTCTAGACACATTTTCTTGCTTTGCTGGGCAGCTCTCCCAAACGTCTGCGAAAATCCCAGTCTGCAATCTTACAGTCCAACTGGCCAAGATTGTTTGGGGCACTTTATTTGACATCTGAAATTTTGTTGCCTGAGTCTTATGACTGATGGGCATTTCTTCATTCTGTTTAAGCCATATGTTTTATTTTTTTCCCTTGGAAAAAGTTTTGCCTAATGGTGTATATATCACTCAGTGTCTAGTCAGAAAAATAGAATCTATGCCAAGTAGTTCAAAAGATTTCAAGACTGTCAGGCAGGAACTGGAACCATGGGTGTATAGCCATTGCTGGAGACACAGCCCAAAGTAGAGAGAGAAGAGGAGAAATACTTGGACTTCTCATTTCCTCCCACCCAGCAATCTCCTGCTGGGACCTCCCATTGGCTGAAACCAATCAGATGCCCAAGAACACAGGAGTCTAGGAACTGTAGTTCCTGGGGATAAACCTCTCCCATACAGAGCAGAGCAGAGGAAGACAGGGATGTATCTGAGGGCAAAACACCAATGACTGACAGAGGATCTCTCCAGAATAGCTTTCTCTTTTGAATTCTCACCAACTCTGAAGAAATGGTGGGTTCAAGCATTCAGTGGACAACAGAGGAGGAGAAGTGCATTGCTGGAGGCTGACAGCAGTTTACTCATGATCTTAATAGTAGAGATTTTTCACACTCTTTCCTAATTGTTTAGAAATATCATACTTCACACAAAGCTGTTATCTCTTCCCTGTTACTAAAGATTAAAAGCTTCCAATGCTTCAATTTAGCACCCATTTTTCTATACATACCAAATGAAGGAGCACCGATTTGAAAAACAGAGAAATTATAGTATCTCCAAACACAATTAACACCCAAGTATCTCTCGGCCAGGTCCTAAGGGGATGGAGGGGGAGAAAAAGTTAATTCATTAATATATTTCAGCTAAGTGACTGATTTTGCCTTCATAAAACCCAATTCATCATCCTTAACCTTAGAGCTTCCACTCCAAGAAGAATACATTTACTTACTGGCCTCTCCTCACAGATGTGTGCTAAATTTGTCTGTGACACTTCAATTCCAGTTTCTGCTGCTAAAACATAATACAGCAAAGCTTCGTGCCTAAAAATAGATGATTAATAATAAATTTCATACAGTGGCTCTTACTAATATTCACGGAGAGCTTTATATTCAAGCATAAGAGGGCACAAAATAAGCAGTTTTTTTAAAGCCACAAAATCATGAGTTTGTTGTGTGTGTGTGTGTGTTTTAAAATAAATACTGTTGTTAAAAATACTGCCTGCACTGATTTATTTTCTATCTTAAAGGCTGAACTCACTGATAAGGTTGGAGAGCTAGTTGATGCAACAGCTACCTCTACTGGCCGAACGGTGTGTGGCATGCTGGCTGGGTTGTCTATTGCCTTCTGTCCTTGAATCCTTCCATCCCAGCTTAGAAGAGCTAAGTGGCATTTAGAAAAAGCCCTGTGTGTTCGGGTCCCTGTTTTGTGAAAGGCTTCATTGGGCTTAGGATTCTGAGCAAGCTTAATTAGAGCTGAGTTTTTGTGATGCATTAGAAGTTTGGCAGAGGGGAGGGAGTTTACAAGGGGCTTGATACCAATGACCAAACACACAGAGAAAAAAATAAATGTTTGATAATGCTAGTAGTTAATGATGGCAAAACAATGACGGAGGACTGTTGATCTGCTGAAAGACTGGCACAAGATTCACAAGACAGGGTAAAAGCAAGGGTTTGGGGGAAACGAACATATTCCTATGGCCAATGCTTGTGGGAGGGCAGGTGACTCCAACCGTTAAATGCAGGAAGACTTAAGAATCCACACATCATTTAGCCAACAGTTCTCCCTTGTGAAGGTTTATTCTAAAGAAGCAAGAAACGTGCGCAAAGATTCTGTGACAACAGAGTTCACGGCAGAGCTGTTTACATGAACAAAAAACACTGGAAGCAACTTAAGTATCTGAAAATCAGTGAGTAGTTAAATTACCCCCGAGTGCAGCCACATTCAGATGAGGCGATTAAAAATGATATTGTAGAAGAGAATTCAAAAACATAGAAAGATGTTTATGCAAAATTTTCCATTCAGTTTTAAAAAAAAAAGAGCAGGATGAGAAACAGAGTGGTTCCGTTTTTGTAATACAGAAATAAAACCGAGCGCACACCTTCACAAGCTCATGCAGGTGCATATAGGCAGAGAAAAAGAAAATAAAACCTAAAAACTGTTCATCAAAATCCTCATAGTACTTTCCTCTAGGTAGTGAAAATTGAGTCATTTTATTTTTTTCTTTTTACTTCTATGATTTCCTCCATTTTCTTTGTGTCACCCAGGTTATGAGTGACATTTTATTTTGACCAGATATCATTGTTCCTCAAGCTTCTTTGGCATTCTCAGGAGCTGATGTTAACTCTTTCTTGATTGTACCTCCACCCCAAAACTGGCTTCTGGTAGGGCTGGGGAAATTAGGAGAGCTGATTCTGAAATCCTGCTCTTTACACTGTTAAAGTAGCTTTTGATGGCCCATTGCCTAGGGACAGAGAGAGGTGACTGGGCATCAAATTAGGATGGTGAGACCTTCAACTGGACACAGTGCAGGTCATGGGCCATGTAACTGCTGAGCGAGCTGATTCTCGGCTTCCCAGACACCCAAGGCAGTGGACCAATTAGCCCTGACTCATGCTAAAGAGAGACGAGGCTGGCTGGGCAGCTGTCCCCTGCACTGCAAGCCAGATAACAAGCCCAAAATGGCAGCCGTAAGAATAACACAAAAGATGCCCAGGTGTTTTCTTACACAGCTGGCAAAAATAATGTTTTGTGACAAGAATCTTCAGAAGAGACCCCAGATGGAGGGCATGCAAAGGAGGCCTGGTCAGAAGTCCCCATCCCTCTACAACAGGGACCCATTCCCAAGGTCTTACAATCTCACGTTTCTTTGGAACCAGTGCCTGTCTCCCCCAGGAATGGGTACAGGAAAGAGAGGGTGTAGACTTGCCAACTCAAGGTCACATGTCAGGCCAGGTCCCTCTGCTACTGTAACTGGATGGGATATGGCTCACATTATTAAAATGTAATCAAAATGACGTTTTCTTTGACAGCAGTCGGGCAGATGATTAGAATGTGCGAGGGAGGCATGAGGCTGACACTTCCCAGAAGAACTAAGTCACTAGGACAAACTTTACAAAGACAAGATCGTCTCTCCAAAGTTACTTTGGTGGTGGGGAGGGGAAGGGGGGCGAGTTTCATAGGAAGACTTCCACTGTCCAATTATTGTATAAGCCAAGAGGAAATGTCATAGAATTTCCCAAGCATTTCCTTTGAGGAAACACTGAAATACATCAGAAAGAGATGTCTATGAAACATTGATGTCAACAGAAGCACTGAAGGGAAATCCACCTCTGTCTTCCCTCCTGCAGAAGCAATCCTCCAATGCCGTGCACTCCCACACTGCCACCATCCGTGGGGGAAGGTTAGAACTCTCAAGGCCAGACTTTCTCAGCTTATTAAGACTTCTGAGAAATGACACCTCTGCAGAAATCCTACCCACATTTAGCCTCCCAGTGATTTGTTCTTATTTAATTGTGTTTTAACAGAGAGTGCCCAGAAGTATCAATTACAGATATTTCTATATTTATATTCATGGAACAAACATGTATGCAGCACTTAACTGTGGGCAGGAAGCCCAAAGATAAGCCACAAAGCTGTACTGTCCTTTCCATGAATTTCCTCAAGGCTTAGGAAGCTCACCAGAGCTTCAAGCTTTATTTCCAAGGCACTAAAGTAAAGTTGTCCCCCAGGCAGTCATCCTGACAGGGATGGGGGTGGCGGGTGGACGTGGAGAGGAGGGGATTTATGGTAAAGAACACATTTGGGGACATATTTGCTATCCTCCCAGTTCCGCCTCAGCATATACACATAGAGAATTTTTATAATGATACATCTTAATAATCAATCCTTGGGCTGCTTGCTGTGAATTGTGAATTTGAGTACCTCTGAGCAGCTTCCCAAACAATTATATGATTTTCTTTGTGCTTTTCTCTGCCAATGCATGAAGCAGCTCAAACTGAAAAGATAGAAAAAAAAAAAAAAATCCTGGGATTCCCCATGGAACTCAGGCCCCCTGGTCTCTTGCAGAAAGGTGAATCTCTTTCAACTGGAAATTGGCATGCCTACTTGTCTTGCCTCAAGCCCACCATAATCTGGCTAACCTCCTGGGTTAAATATTTGGGGCATATTTAAGACAAAGGACAATAAAACACATAGCTCACAGATAAAACACACATGGGGGAAGGCAGAGAAATGAAACATGACAGCCAGCCTCTCCTTCACTGACTTCTGGTGTCCGAGGACAGCCTGAGGCATGACAATAGTATCTTCTGTATTATGCCTATACAGCAAAAAGCACTTTTCTCAATCACGCTCCTCTTTTAAACTATCCTGTATGAATCTTGGAACAACACAGAAAAGCAGAAGCTCATCAAACTGACACATGTAATTTGAAAATAACGTCCAGAATGAATTCACTCACAGAAAATGAAAAAGGGGATGGACTTGGGACATTGATGGATGATTTAGTTCTATTACAGCAGAATAGATGGTACCAAAAAAGCCCCATCATAGTGTGGGGAGGCCAACATCCCTATATTTCCTATTTAACCTCAGGGTGGGCTTCAGACTTGGAGAATGGGAGGAAACAGAAGCACTTTGCCTCAAATATATTTTGACGAGGATTTTGTCATTATAATGGATACTAGATATTTCTTCCTGTTGATAGGAAAAAGGCTTTGGATCCAGACTGAAACTTAATACTTAGCATCAGCACCAAGATTGGCAAGGATATGGAGAAACAAAAATGTATACATGGTTGGCAGGCGAGTAAATTGGTAAAATCCTTTGGGAAAACAGCTGGCATTATCTTATAAAGGTGAACACTATCTTATAAGGTGCCTGCCCAGTGACCCTACTCCTAAGTTTATATTCTAGAGAAACTTTTCGTATGTATGTCACGATATACCTAAAAAATGTTCATGGCCACATTGTTCTTAAAAACAACAAAAAAAGGGAAACTCAAACGTGTTAAAATAAGAACTGATAAGTAAAGCATGGTCAATGACGGAAATAAAAAGGAATGACCTACAGATACATGCAACAAGGGATCTGAATCTCGGAAACATAATGTTCGGTTTTTAAAAAAGGCAGTTGAACTATATGTAATATGATTCTAATAATAGAAAGCTCAGACACAAGCCAAACAACTTTACTGCTTAAGAATAAATCCATGTAACTAGAGGGTATCATGCTTAGCGAAATAAGTCAATCGGAGAAAGACAACTATCATATGATCTCCCTGATATGAGGAAGTGGAGATGCAACATGGGGGGTTAAGGGGGTAGGAGAAGAATAAATGAAACAAGATGGGATTGGGAGGGAGACAAACCATAAGTGACTCTTAATCACACAAAACAAACTGAGGGTTGCTGGGGGGAGGGGGGTTGGGAGAAGGGGGGTGGGGTTATGGACATTGGGGAGGGTATGTGCGATGGTGAGTGCTGTAAAGTGTGTAAACCTGGTGATTCACAAACCTGTACCCTTGGGGATAAAGATATATTATATGTTTATAATAAATTTAAAAAAAAAGAATAAATCCATGTAGAGCAAGACTATAAAGAAAGCAAGGGGAGATCAACAACAAGGCTCAGGGTGATGGTTAGTTCTGGGGACCAAGGGTGGGATGGGTTTAATTTGGGAGGGAAATGCAGGGGGTTTCAACTGTTCATTTTCTTTTTTTTATTTTATTTTATTTTATTTATTTATTTGAGAGAGAGACAGTGAGAGAGAGCATGAGTGAGGACAAGGTCAGAGGGAGAAGCAGACTCCCCATGGAGTTGGGAGCCTTATTCGGGACTCGATCCTGGGATTCCAAGATCATGACCTGAGCTGAAGGCAGTTGCTTAACCAACTGAGCCACCCAGGCACCCTGTTCATTTTCTCACATAGGGCTACAGATGTTCATTTTATCCTTATGCCTGAGAATCTATATATATGTATCACATATCAGTTCATATGTATCAACTACTGTATGACAGAAGTAGAAAAAAAAAAAAACAACAACTCAACTGGCTTATGCCACATCTCCAGTTCAAATGGTCAGCTCTTTTTACCCAGATTCTGACCCAGCATGCCCTTTCAAACTCTCCCTTCTCTTTGCCATCTAGTTAGACATCTCAGAACCCAGCTCTGTCATGTCACTACCCTCTCCTCAAACTATCGATAGCTCCCCACTGCCACATAAATTCAGTAAAAAGTGTATGACCTGACATTCAAAGTTCCATAGAGCAGCATCTCTTTGCTCTTGTTATCTGTCACTCCCTTTTACAAATCTTACCTGAAGGCAAATTAGTGGCTTAAAATTTTCCAGACTCATCCAGAATTTTCCTATCTCTTTCCTTTCATTTCTGCTGTTCCCTTCACTAGAAATGCTGTTCCCTGCATGGTCAAGGGGTAATCTCACCCACCCCTCAAGGCCATGTCATCTGCTACCCCCATCATGAAGGCTGATCTAAGTCCTACAAACCAGATAGTGTCTTTTCCTTCACAGAATCCTTCATGCCCTTTATATACTGCTCATGTATCTTGAGTTAGGGTTGTTCTGTTTGCCTTAGATCATGCACTCATTTGTTTCTGAGCATTTCCCAGGTACCACCAGGTGCTGGGCCCTGGGGTACAAATCACCAGGCAATCAACAAGAGCAATCCTGATCTTAACAGGAGTAAGGAGTTAGGGAGGCCTTCTGGGCAAAGGAAACAGCAAGTTCAAAGATCCAGAGGTCCTACAAAACACAGTCCATGTGAAAAAACTGCAGATAGTTCAGCATAAGAAAGAAATGAGGTGCAGTGCTTGGGTGGCTCAGTTAGTTAAGCGTCTGTCTATGGCCTGGGTCATGATCCCAGGATCCTGGGGTGGAGCCCCTCAATGGGCTCTCTGCTCAGCAGGGATTCTACTTCTCCCTCTGCCTGCCATTCCCCCTGCTTGTGCCCTCTCTTTCTCTGTTAAATGAATAAAGTCTTTTAAAAAAATCAATCTTGTGTTATGGCTGAATATTGTAAGAAAGACGAAAGGTCACAAAAATCTGAATTCATCTTGACCTTCCCAGCCAGTTTTTAAAATGTGCTACCTGAAATGCTTTGTGATGTTAAATTCAAAAGCAGGCAAGAAATGTAAGCTATTAATAGACACTCTATGGGAAAAATAGTGTCAAGCATCTTCGGGGGTGTGTGTGTGTGTGTATGTCCGTGTGGGGGTGTTTACAGATGTGCTCCTTCTTTGGGAAAACCTACATATGCACTTCAGTATTTGAATGCCCTTTCTCCCCTAAAAAGCTTGTGGGGAAAAAAGGGTGGGAAGTTTGGAAGATGAGAAGTAGAGAATAAATTAAATTCAAATTTGGGAGTTTTACAAAGTGAAGCTCACTTGGGAGACAAGATAAAACACTGGAAAATTATAAGGTGTATCAAGTGGAAAATAATAATTTCATTAAAATTTTTTCCCAATTGTGTGAAGTGAGGCCACAGATAATAAACTTTCACAGGATGATAATAACAAACATTCCTTTTGGTGCTGTTTTCATTGGGTTTACTTCCCTGCCTCCTTTAAAATTTTCATTGACATGCTATCTGCTGATGATGCAGGCACTATGGACCAAAGGAGAAAATAATGTTCTCTTGGACTTGTATTTTAATTTTTAATTAAGGTTCAGGTCAGAGTATGCTCTATGATAGGTCTGGTCTAATGTTTTTGAGGCAGTGGACCAATGGGATATGTGCTGATTTGCATACCCTTTTAAGTTATTACTGAAATACCCAGATCACTTAGGCAATAATCCAGCCAAGAAAAGATGGCCCAGTGGAAAAGTAAGACAGAGTGGCAGGGCTGGCAGAAGAAAACAGAAAGATGGAATCAGGTGGAGTCTGCAGTTTGGAAAGATGTGCCCTTATTTGTAAAATCAAGGCACAGCAAATAGGGAGCATCTCCAAGTCCTTAGTGCAGTATCTCATCCCATAGGGTACAGGATGAAATTTGTTAATTCTATCAGAAGAAAGTTAAAATGGAAAATCTGTTTGGCTGTGACATCTGAGGTCTGCTGAGTGAGTTCCAGTAATCCCAGGCTTTTGGCCACAAAAGATGCAGTCACATATCAGTGGAAGGATGTAGCTTGAGCCTTAAACACACTGCTCTCTCTGCTTCCTGTGAACTTTCTGTGCCCTGCCAGGGAGAGGCAGAGGTTCAGCTAAGACCCCTTGTGCTGTCTCCACTCTAAAACCAAAAGGAACAAGCTTGAAGGAGAGGAAAGTCAACACATGCATGTGTCTCTCAACTTGATGAATGTGGACACTTCCCCTAGAGAACTAATTTTTGTGTATAATTAAACATGGAAATGCTATGTTTTCTAATCAACAGCCAATCAGTCTGTGATACTCTGAATATCATTACTGGGAGGTCGTGATTTCCCTGCAAATTGCTTTTTCGGTTGTATTTTAAGACTCCATCTCATATGACTACACTGACAAATTGCGGGCTGAGAAAGTTCATTCTAACGTGGGTCCCCAGCTTACCATGAGCCCTCCAGGTAGGCATTGAGGCCTTTGCGAATGACGTGACCCAAGTAGCCATTTTTCTCAGCTACGTGCTTTGCCCATCTGAAAAGAAAAGGAATGAGAAAATACCCAAACCATGGCAAATTAAATAATTGCTTTTTTCTTCATATGATCTCAATAAATTCCACTTGGGGATTATTTTGCTTGTTAGAATTTTTACACAGCAACAAACCAGAACTGAACGTTAAGAAGGTAAAGAAAGATGCATTTTGAGAACATTGCTTTCAGTGTCTTTTCTTATAAGTGCTTGGGAAATATCATGTATGGAAATAAGGACATGAAATGTACCTAATGAAAAATACCTGCCGATACGAAAATAGATCATCTTCACCAAGAGTTAGTACTCTCTCCATTAAAACGTATTTACTGATTTATTTTAAGGTTTCTCCATTTTTTTTTCTGTTCTCTAATCTATCCTGGAGAATTTTTACTAATAATGAACTGGCCTGTTGTAATCTTTAGACTTACAACCACTAAAAGAATATTATAAGGATATATTACTAGCAAGCTAATAGAAAGGGGAAATAAAATAAAAAAATAATACTTGATTAATGTAAAGGAAAAGTAAGAAAAAGGGAAACAAGTACAAAGAATGGATGAGAAAAATAAGGAATAAATAATAAAATGGCAGATTTAAAACAAAATATTTCTGTCAGTTGCATTAAATGTAAATGGTCTAAATACCCCAATAAAAAACTAAACTTGTCAAACTGAATAAAAAGTACACAAAACCCAATTATTTGCTGCTTAGAAGAGACACACATTAAAATTAAAAGAAGAAAAGATTAAAAGTAAAGGCTGGAAAAAGATATAACTCTAACAACAACAACAATAACAAAACTCTAACAAGCAAAAAAAATCAGGTGTAGCAAAATTGACCATATCCTGTCATAAAGAAAGCCTCAACAAATTTCAAAGGACTGAAGTAATTCAGAATGCATTCTTTGATTGCAGTGGAATTAAGCTAGAAATCAATAACAAAAGAAAAATTTATGAAACATATGAATGTTCACATCAAACATTCTAACTAATATTGATAAAAAGCTTCAAGTCTGTCTAGGTCAAGTTTTATCAGTGAGTTCAGGTCAGGTTGGATTTTCTCTCAAATGTCTTATGAAACAAAACCTTTTGTAAAGCCAGACTACTGGTATGAGGGTGGTCTAAAGCAGAGGTCTGCAAAGTCTTGTTTTTTTTTTCCTGTAAAAGGCAAGATAATAAATATTTTAAGCCTTGTGAGCCACACAAGGTTTCTATTTGTATTCATCTTAGTGTGTGCAACTGTCTTACAACCCTTTAAAAATGCAAAAAGCATTCTTAGCTCTTGGGGGTCACACAAAACAGAGGGTGGGCCGCATGTTATTTATGGGCCTTTATTTGCCAACCTCCGTAAAACATTTTCAGATATGCAATGGTCTCAGAAATGTGCCTCCTGTTCACCATTCTCTAGGAAGCTACTGTAGGATGTGCTCTACAAAAGCATAGGCATAAACCAAGAAAGAAGAAGAAATAGGGTCCAGCAAGGAGAACCCAAAAAGACAGAGATGAAGGGGAAGGAAACCCCCCACAGTGATGACAGGGTTAACTTCATCAGGGCAGCTCTGTCCTGAGGGAAGACTCCAGAAGAGATGTCACTGAGATTAGGTTAATCAAATACCTGGTGGGTCTAGACATACTGAGGAGACATTTAGACAACTGTGGGAGAATTTGGAGATTTAAGCATATGAAAAATGATAAGTATGCAGAAAGCTAAGCACCTGAAGAACTATGAAGTATAATTATTACTCCACAGAACACAAAAATCTGTGTAAGAAAAAGAAAGTACTCATAGCCTAACACATGGGTCAACTGTACCTCAGATTCCCATGGTCCTAATAATGGGCACCCTGATACTAATCTAACCAAAATAATGATATATTTATGGGAAAATGGCACAAGGCGGGAAGTGTGGATGTGTGGGATAGCAGGTGGTGGCAGAATGAGAGGGAACTACATCTTTCATAGAGGGACATCATTAGACAAAGCCTGTAATGAAACTAATAAGAAATAGTATGAGCGTGTCGTTGAAAGAGAGGGGCAAACAGTAAAGAAATAATGAAAAGACTGAAAGTGACTTATTCTTGAGAACAAGAAGTAGTTTGGGTGGGGTAGCAGATTTTCTGCTTTTCCCATGTCAAATTATTATTTTTGGGTTTCCATTAAAATGTACTTATTTTCACTTTGTCGAATGAGGTGGCTTTTGAAAGTTTGTGCATGCACAACAGGTAAAAATAAAGGTGAAATTCAAAATTGCAAAACAAAGAACGGGAACTCCATTTCCAGGCACAGTGAATAAAGTACATGGCTTTCCCTTTGTACACAACAGCTGACAGGTTCTTACACGACAGCCTTCTCGGGATCTCTAGGGAATGTCTCCAGGTTTCCTGTGATATAATAGAGAGAACACCACAAGGTTCCTTCGATGTGTCCACCCTGTGCAGCCTTATGGAAATATTCACCGGCTAAAGTCTGTAGAGAGATAAACAGAGTCATCTCCTTTGGTGAGGAGTTCTCCCGGCTGGGCTGGTTTCATGGAAGCCAACACGTGAGACACTCAACCCGATATTTTCACCAGCTAATCACTTCTGATATCTTTAGAAAAACCAAGTCAAGCTCCAGGAAGACAGCCCATCACAGAAGCCGACCTCTGGGTGTGATAACCTTGACAGTAAGCTATTCTGTCAAGTTTACCAAATAAACAAATAAGACAACACATAGCTATGAATCCCATAACCCCTGTAAACGAAACAGAAGAATGTATCAGAAGTCAGGCCAGGTTCACACCAGGTGAAAATTCAGGCATTGGCTTTCATAACCTTGCTTAATACCTTTCTTCAAATTCATGCGCCAAGACCACACCTCCCGTAGAATATGACAATAAAAAATCCACACTGGCATATATGTGTGTGGGTGACCAGACATTAGCAATGCATAAAAATATACAGCCTCTTATGCAGGCAGAGAGAGGTGGAGGGGAAAATAAGACAAATGTTTAGAAGGGTGAATGTTCTGCTGGTCACTATTGTTTTTCTGAGGCAGTTAGATGCCATTCGTAAGCCAGGGATTTGGAGTCAGACGGGCTTGGGTCTAAATCCATGCTCTGCTCCTTCCCAGCTGTGTGACCTTGGGCATGGTAGTTCATCTCTCCAACTGCGAGATTTCTTCAACTGAAAAATGTGGCTTCTGAGAGTACCTAGCACGAAAGGCTCTTTCAAGGATTAAATGAGATGGATTCTCAAGGCTTAGCACGGTGCTTCACAAAAATTATCTTCCAGTTTCCTACCCTCAGAAACCTGCCGCTGCCTCAGTCTGGCCCATCCCACGAAATGCCCCCTCCACTCTTCTACTTCGATAAATGCCAAACACTTCAGAGTCACCCTGTCTCCTGTCACACCTCACATCCAATCTATTAGCAAGCCCTGTCACCTTAACCTTCAAAGTACGTGCATAATCCAGCTACACTTCCGTCCCCCTTCTGGGGTCGCTCATCCTTTCTCACTTGGACTCAATACATTAACCCCCTGCTCTCCTCCTGTCTTCTTTAATCCTAGTCTCTGCTAGGATCCTTTTAAAACACAGCACATCACTGCCCCATCCAAAGCGGCCCAGCGGTTTCCCATCTTCCTTGGAGCAGCTGAGATCTCACAAGGACCAGCACATCTGCCTGCCCAACCTTCTCTCCCCCACTTCGCCCCTCCCCTGCTTCCTGCTCCCAGTGCTCCAGCTTCCCTTCTATCCCTAGAGCATGCCACTCCTGCTTTCCTCTAGGGCTTTTGCCCTGACTGCTCACTCCTTCTGGAATATTCTTCCCCCAGATATATGTAAGCCTCTTGTATCCCTAGTGCCTGGAAGAATGCCTGGCATAGGGTGGGCATTCAGGGAAATCTGAGGCCTGTGACGGTGCAGAAATTATAATTACCATCATCAATAGTATTAGTGGACTAATAGGCTAATGAGCTAACGAGGGGCTTCCAGCTTCTGTAAGGATCTCAGTCCTGCCTCCACTAAGCATATGACTATGAGTAAGTTATATACATTCTCAGAACCTTGATGTTCGTTCTGTAAAATGGACATAATCATAGCAGCTATTCCAGAAGATAAAGTTAGAATGACATGGGGTGCATGTCAAGTATTTCTGAGTATCCATCACAGAGGAAGTGCTTAGCAAACACTGAAGATTGTCACTGTTGTTTTCACTATTATTCAGTCTGGTCTCATATCAGGCAAACCCATCTGGACCCAGCTCTCTTTGCTCCTAATGAGATCAATCTCTGTATTGCCTCTCACTCACTCTATCTCGTATCATCCTCCCCTTCCTCCCTAGTTCAGGCCTCCCTCCTCCATGAAGCCTTCCTGACTGCTTTTGATCTTCACGGTTTCCCCTGTCCAGAACTATTTGGGTCATAGCAACGAGCACACATGTGACACTTGGCTAGATGCCATCCTTTGCCATCTGCTATCTTATCTTCCTTACTGGACCCTTGAGTTGCTTAAGGACAGGGTCTGTGCCTTGGGTGGCGTCTGCACCTCTCACGGGGCCTCATCCAGACCAGACACACAGCAGACGAGCCAGTGACCAGCTGCACAGCTGGCGTCAAGTCTTACTTGATTCCTTTCAGGAATTCCTGGGAAAATGCCATCCAAATACAGGACTCCAAGATTGTACGATGCATCTGGATTCCCCATTTCTTCGGCTTTTAACCAGTACTTTGCTGCTTTGGCATAATTTTTCTTGAATTTGTGGTAATACCATCCCAAGCCATTGACTGCCTGATGTAATCCCTAGATTTTAGAACAAGAAAAAAAAAAATGACGTTTTTGTTTGTTTGTTTGTTTTTAATGAAACCTAAACAGAATCTATTGTTGGGAAAGCACTCTGCCTGGGTCTGAGCAAAACCCTTCCCATCTCTTTCTGGGGGCAGATAGCATTGAAGAAAAGCTAAGTGTTAAAACCAAGGGCCTTCTCAGAACCTTCCCCTGGGGGGGTTTCACCCAGCTGCTGCCAGGATTTCCTGCTTTCCAGCTCCGCAGTCATGCTGCCCCCAAATCATGGCTCAGCTCCTGAGGGCTCTTCCACAAAGCCCTCGTCTCCAAAAGGTCTCTTATTGCCCCGAAGTATCAACAGTGACCTTGCAACTCATGAGTGCTCACCTGCGAGAGGAGAACTGACAGCCCCTGCCACTGGGACAGTTTTCTAGGTGACCCGCCTGCCCATCTGTTGATTACTCTGCCCGAACATCAACAAATTCTCTGAGGGAAGCAGCTGCAACAGCCTACTTGCAAAGCACAGGGGCTTCGAGGCTACTAAGAGTCCCAGCCCTGAGGGTGTGTGGGTGGGGGTAGAGTCAGGAGAGTGGGGGTAGAGGGGGCTGAGGCAGAGTGGGAGGGAGGTGGGGGATGGGAGGAGGGTTTGTTTTTGTTTTGTTTTTTTAAGATTTCATTTATTTGTCAGAGAGAAAGAGAGAGGGGGAGAGCAAGCAAGTGCATAAGCAGGGGGAACCACAGGCTGAGGGAGAAGCAGGCTCCCTGCTGAGCAAGGAGCCTGATGTGGGACCCTGGGATCATGACCTGAGCCGAAGGCAGATGCTTAACTGATGCAGCCACCCAGGCGTCTCCGGAAGGAGGGTTTTAAAACTGTGTCTAGACCTGGGGCTGGTACCAAGGAAGTGCTTCATGTGGATGGAGTCTGGAGCCTCCTTGTGATTTCATCCTATCAGGTGCCCGCATGTGCTTTCCCCAGATGCTCCCACGTGCTTCCACAGGGCAGCCCGCAGCTTGGTTGTTGAGGGCTCGGAAGCCCCGCAGGGGTGTGAGTGCTGTGGAAGGAGGCTCTGGCCCACAGTGAGATACCTGTGTGTAGACCTGGGCATGCAGGGTTCTCATGTCTCCCTTTCTGCCGGACCCACCAAACCATGAAGAAGCAGGGGGAAAAGGATCCGAGGGTCAAACAGTGCCTTGCACCTGTGAGACTTATTAAATCAGAGTCCAAGTACAGAACCAAACCTCTTTCACCACCTTTCACCAGTGAAGAATGGGTGTCCCTTGAGAACAGATGCAAAGATACCAGGCTGAGACTTTTCAGTCTGCAACAGATCCTAAAAAGCTAGGCTTCCTAGATTTCTTCCTAGATTCCAGCTGCCAGAAAGACCAGAGGGAAAGAAATGAACAAAGCCCATTCAAACAGAAGCTCTAGGGCATGTGGGTGGCTTAGTCGGTTAAGCATCTGCCTTCACCTCAGGTCATGATCCCAGGGTCCTGGGATAGAGTCCCACATTGGGCTCCCTGCTCAGTGGCGAGTCTGCTTCTCCCTTTCTGGAGCTCTGTGATCTCTCTTGCTTTCACTGTGTCTCAAAAAAATAAATAAAGTCTTAAAAAAAAATAAAATAAATTAAAAATAGAAGCTCCATGAGGGCAGGAATCTTTGTTTTGTGTCCCAAGTACCTATATTAGTGCTTGCCACAGAGCAGACGTTCAATAAATATTTGATGAATGAATGAAAACCACCCTTCGCATGCGGTGTTAAACAAAATGGAATCCAAATCCTACACCCTGAGGGTGGAAAGTAGGGTTGGGATCTGCAGGCCCCCGAGACAGCTGATTCCCAAGCCAGCTGATGTCAGGAAGGGTGTCAGTGCTGTGGACCTAGTCATGGAAGCCTTCTTCCCGGACTGCATGCTGTACAGGGTGCAAGGTGGTCTCCTGGAAAGTCTGGCAGAATGCCTCTCAATCACGTAACAGAGCAGGCCATACTATAGAGTGGCAAGAGCCAGCTTTGGGACAAGCCTATGGAAGGTACACATCACAGTGACTTCTGCTACAAAGCCAGAGGCCACAGGCATATTCAAATGCACCTGTCATCCCTCAAAACATCTGCAGAACTCCACGAGGAATCGCATCTGGAGCCTCACAAGAAATCCTGTCTTCTATCTTACCGATCAGACTCCGCTCTGGACATATACAGCTTGAACACCAGATTTGCTCCCATGTGACTTTTCGCTCATTCCAAAAACCAAACTGCGTGGGACCTTCCCCACAGTGCCTGACAAAGACTAGGGGCCTCAAAATCCCATGCCGGGTGAATAAGTGAGAATCACACTACACTTTTAAGGATGTGATGACTCCAGGCCATAACGCAGCATTTCCCAATCCTCACCGAAGCTCTGCTAAGAATCCCTTCATCTGGATCCCATCCAGAAGAGATTCTTAATCTCACAAAACAAACTGAAGGTTGCTAGGGGGTAGGGGGATAGGGATAGGGTGGCTGGGTTATGGACACTGGGGAGGGTATGGGCTATGGTGAGTGCTGTGAAATGTCTAAGCCTGATGATTCACAGACCTATACCTCTGGGGCAAATAATACATTATATGTTAATTAAAAAAAAAAAGAATCCCTTCCAAACAAAGCACATTAGACATCAGCTCACCACTAAGGATGGCTGAAGAGATGCAAATTTCACATCTGCCATGGCAAGCCCATCACGGCCCTGTTTTAGGGGGCTTTGGGCTAAACGCCCTCAAGGACCACCATTCAACAGCCTCGCTACTTCTGCCCTTTAACCTGTAAGGGGGCAGGAGCTGGTGTGCCCTTCAATGGGCTCCCTTCTCTTGGGTCATGTGCCCTCTTGACACCACCACGGTGGACGGAAAGCCTCTCGGTTTATTCCGTGTTCCAACCTCCTGTTCTACACACACAAAAAGAGACTCTGAACTTCTCAGGGGAGGATGAGGAGGTGGAAATCAGCTTCAGGAGTCTTTGTTGATGAGGCAAATATTAGCGGCCTTGGGGAGGGGGGCTCTTTCAAGAGCCAGAAGGGCTATAGAGGAATCCGTCAAGGCTGTAGAATTATAGTGGTTTCTACAAATTTATATGCAAATCCACACGCATGCACCTGTGAGCGTGCTTGCTTGTGAGGGTGTGCACGCCTTGTATGTACGTGTACACGTCACCCCACCCCCTGCAAGCGGTATTTAACCTCCATTCTGTAGTGCTATCATGTAACCGGCTAACTTGACAACATCTTAGAGTAAATAGTGACCAAAACAAAGCAATTTTTAAACCTGGCTGTCAACTTGCTAAACATCCTCATTATTATTTTTTTTTAAAGATTTTATTTATTTATTTGACAGAGAGAGATCACAAGTAGACAGAGAGGCAGGCAGAGAGAGGGAGAGAAGCAGGCTCCCTGCTGAGCAGAGAGCCCGATGTGGGACTCGATCCTAGGACCCTGAGATCATGACCTGAGCTGAAGGCAGCGGATTAAACCACTGAGCCACCCAGGCGCCCCTAAACATCCTCATTATTAAAGCACGGGCAGGGCACAGGGATTGGACACAACAGGGTTAACCTTTACAGGAATTAGGCTTTTGGTTTCCCTAATTCAGCGGCATATCTACATATCCATTCAGTTCCAAGGAGCACCACTCCCCCACTGCTTGTTATCAGAGCAGCCTGTGATTATAATTTTAGCCTTCCAACAAAATCTGCCTGCATTCTATTGACTGGAAGGTGAGTTCAGCTTTTGAAGTCTGCTGTCCCCATTGTGGTGGGTTTCTGTCTGTGTCGCAGTTTCGAAGTGACTAATCACCGCGATGGCAGTGACCCTCCCACCTCACTCCGTTTTCTAGGGGCTGGGCCACGGGATGGCCATTTACTCTCGCAGACTTGTGAGTGTGTGGGTGTGTGTGGCGCAAATGTTTCCCTCTGACAATATGCAGAAGTGTTACCTTGGAAGCCGCTTTCTTCATCAGCTCCAAAGCAAGCCGTCTGTTCTTTTTCACTCCTTGACCCTAAACAATGATAAACAGCGATGAGCATGAAGAAAATAAATGCAGAGCGCTCTCAGAAACATCCTAGAGGTGTATCAGCGCTCCACAAACAATACTTAAAAAAGAAAACACAAGCCTTCTTCATCAAAAGCCTTATCTTCAGGGTTTCTACATGCAGAGCTCGTCTACCATCCTCCTCATCATCATCACTATGATTTTGCTTGTATGTGTGGTTCAGGGCCAGCAGACCTCAGCTTGCCAGCTCAGCGTCCCTACAAACCCCCCATCATCACCAAGGGAATGGCGTTCCTGTGGATTTGACAGGAGAAGCCCTGAAGAACAGTGAAATGAGTTTGGTCATCCTGGATGCGTTTCCTGCAGATGGCCTCGTTTGCGAGTCTGATGTCACACTTGATCTGCGATGGACAGCCAGAAGTTTTTGGGCTGTACTTTGCAGCCTTCCTGGGTCCTCTTGGGAGTCCAGACCAGTTCAGGAGCCAGACGGGAAGGGGATAGGACCCCTTGGCCTCCGTCGACTCAGATGTTGACAGAAACGGACAAGGTTCCTCCTGCAAAATGAAGCTTTTCCAGCAGAGGTGGTTTGAGCACCGCCACAGAGAGAAATGGCTCTGGGGTTCTTGCTACAAGAGGGGAACCTTGTGGGATCGCACTGAGGGGTGGGGAGGATGGCATGGAGGAGCAGCAGGTCTGAGGGTAGGGCAAGAGAGGGTCTCATGGTCTCTCTTACTATAGGACTGACAATAAAGATGGTGGGTAAGGCCAGCTGGATGAAAACCATCGGCGCTACCGAACTCACCAAGCGTCTGTGTTGACAAATACATGGCATGTGCCCCATGGAGTCTTCCTGGTCATAGATGAAGCAGTTGATGGCATAACATGTGATATAATTTTGGAGTGGGGGGGCGGGGGGGCTTTGCAAGGAACATAGCTTTTAACTCTACTGAAGACGGCACAAGCAAACATCCCTGTGTTAGTTGAAGTGTGCCCAGCACTGTGCTGCTGTATCTAATCCTCACCACAAGCCTGGGAAGATGCTGTTAGTGTTCCCTTCTGAACCCTTGCCCAGGGTCTCACAGTGAGTGAGATGCAGAGGTAGGATTTGAACCCAAGCAGGCAGGCTCCACGCTCTAAGCTCATAACTAGCACACTCTCCTTCCTCCCGTGCGTTCCCATTCTGTGCTCAGAATGTATAATGACTCATAACCTCCTTACAGAAACTGTGCAGGATGTGTTTGTCTCCGTATTTTTCAGGACCCCAAATAAAATTGTGAATCCAACTAAAAGTCAAATTATACACACCAAGTTTCTCCTAGCCTTGAAGTTACCTACTTAATGAAACTGATGAGCTGAAGCAAAGTTGGAAGATGAAAATATTTTTTCAGAAATGCAACATTACTTCATTTAATAGAGAGAAAGAGGAAAGGAAAAAGGACATGGAGGCTACTTGGAATAACTGGATGGGGCCATGGGACAACCTTTTTGGACTTCTGGAAAAGCGTCAGAAAGAACAAGATGACAGAATGTTAGAACCTGGTAGAACTCGAGGTTTATCTTCATCAACTTCTTTGCTTTGAAGGAATAAAACAGGAGGATGACTTTACCCAAAGCCTCACAGTTAGATCTGCGACTAGAATTCAGGTATTCTGATTTCTAGGTGCCAAACATTTTCCAGAATATTTGTTATGGAAACCAAAGTGGGATAATTTCTTGCACAAAGCCTCTGCACTAGGCCCAGATCTGAGTTGTACTGGAAGTTGTTAAGTGATAGAAATGTAAAGTCCTGGTACATAGTAAGTGCTCAGTAATGTCCACTGGGTGAATTCATGGAAAACAGCTGCTACAGTAAATGTCAAAGTGCTATCCTCGTGTCATGCAAGAGGGGATGGCTTGGACTGTCTTGGACAAGCCATAGTCACCATGGCGCCATCATACGACACGCCAAATGCCTGCACGGAGCTCCAGAGCACATGGCTGTTCTTCACATTTTGGAAGGTCATCTTCTGCATGGGACTCCTTCACATGGAACACACTTAAAGGGACCTTCTGACCACAGGTAAAATCTTCCCATTACTGAAATACCGATAAGGGGCTTTTATCCCCCTGAGGGATTCTTCGTTAGAATGCAGGAAAACCAAAAATCTTTAAGGTTGGGAAAGCAGACATTGTGTCACCTCCAGAGTCATTTATTACTGTATTTGCCTCTCCCTCGAGATGGTGAGCTCCTGGTGGGCAGAAGTAATGTCTGATTCATGCTGTTATCTTCTCTGGACCTTGACAGGGGCCAGCCTCAGGTCTGGCGGACAGTGCCTCTCTGTGCCTGCCCTCCCCACCACTGCACGAGCCTCTTGAGGTCGGGGACACGGCATACACATCCATCTGTCCCTCCCTCTGGCACAGTGTGTGGCATTTGGTCAGCCTGGAATGGGTGTTTATTGAATAAACACGTGGATGAATCAGCATATGGCTAGGAGTCTAACCATTTCTATGTTGACTTGACAACTGAAAAAGGAAAAGTCCAGACCCTAAATTAGGAAACCGTATGGTATGATCCAATAGGTTTTAAGGTGTTAGAGGATTAGGAATGTAGCAAAGCCATGGCTGTGAATCAGTGAGTGGCTACAGCTGTGGTTCTGAAGATGGACCTGGCCACGTGACTCCATGCCCTCATTTGAAGACACTTGCTATCTGAGGGCAGCTGCTTTCTTTGGGCTTGACATGGGGCCCAGGGGCTTCCACACCGGGACCAACAGAAATTTGCTTCTCCAAGGCTGGTGAGTTGATGTCTTGGGTTTGGGGGTGAAGAACACAGATTCTGAAGCCATAGTGCCAGGATCCCAGTCCCAGATCTCTAAAATGTACCAATTGTGTGACCTTGAGCAAGTTAAAAATCCTTTCTCGACCTCGATTACCACATATATATACAAACAGCAATCCTAATGCCTCCCCGTGTGTAAATCAGGTAATACGTGCTCAATCAGTGCAAACTAGGAGGATTTCCTATAAGACAGTATTTTACATTTCTCGAAGCCCATTCATTATGTTATCTCATTCAGTCCCTGGTCATCACCATTTCCCCATGAGATCAAGTAACTCCAAGGACACCAAGCTGATGACTGTGGAGGAGGGACCTGAATTCCATTCTCTGCCTCCTGGGCTAATGCTCTTTCAACCCATCCCCCGTTTTCCTGTTGGCTTAAAACAAGATCTTTGTTTTTGACCAACCAGACTGTTGGGAGCCAGCCCAAAGGGGCACTTGGGTTAAGCTGTAATTCAATGACAACTTGCAGTACCTCTAGGGGATGGTTGGCCATTTTTTCCAATCCATAAAATAGGGGTGCTTCCTCTAGACAGTTCTTGCAAAAGCAAAGAGAATTCAGGTGCCAAACATAAGACTAATGATTAAAAATGAGACCAGGGGACTGTTTCTGTCTCTGCCTTTTCAGCAAATATCCTTTTCCATCAAGAGTGACAGAAGCATATACTGAGTTTCTCCAGTTACAGACTCCTTGTTTGCCTGCACACCTATGGGAAACTGCTCCGGAAGCCTGCGTAATTTCAGCCCAAACTGAGGGACTCTTACCTTGAACAACACAATGGCATAGTCATATATTAACGCAGGGTCCTCAGTCTCCAGGGCGCCTTTGGCGTACCACTCGATCGCTGCCTCAGGATTCTTGGCCACACCTTGCTGGCCCCAGAACAGCATCTGGGCCAATCGTTGCTTCAAGACAGTAGCAAATTGAGAATAATTACTTTCCTGTGTAATGCTTAACAAAAGGCTTTAAAAGGTGAAAGGACAAACCCAGTTCAAAATGTTTTCATATCAAGAACCAGGAATTAGGCAGACACATGACCTCTTCCAACTGGAGGCTAGAGCCCTGAAAGGTGAACTTGTGTAAATACAAGTCCTTAGCCCCAGTGGGAAACAATGCATGTCTGGACGTGAACGTCAATCAGTCTACTGCACCCAGGGCCAGAGTCAGATGGAACTTGGTCAACAATGACTGTCTCCTCTCTTCAAAGCACCTTTCTTCTGGAAGGTATATGCTGTCCCCTTAGCCTCATGAGTGGCCTGGAGGTGTGTGCACATCCGTATCAAAAGGTACTCATCTCCACCCCAGCATTTGTCCACATGGTTCATTCCACCATGACACTCAAGGCTGGGAGTTCTCTGAGGATCAGAACCTCACGATGTGATTTGTCTGCCTTTCTCCCCTTGGCCCCCACTCAGCAAAGCTCAGTAGAAGATCGTGGAAGCTACACAACAAAGATTTGCTGAACGAAGACAAGAAAGTTCATACAAGCCCTGGAACACCTGGGAAATGACTCTGACCAAGGCATTTCCAGAACCAGGCACTGGAATTCCTTCCTGCACTAGAAAGACTGCACACTAGGGATGGACGCCCAAGAAGGGAGCCAGAGAAATGTTTGTTAACATTCTGGCCCCATTCTGGACCCTTGTGGTCTTTCTTCCTTTCTGCTTCTTCTTCTATTTCCTTTTCTTTCTACCCCCACTCAAGGACTTCCAACTTCCAGCAAAGTATCTCCTGACAATGCTAGGAAGATCAGCACAGATAGGTGGGAGACCCATTACTAAAGGGTCTCTGAAATGCTTGCTTGCCAATGCACTTGTCTTTTCTGTCTTCTTTCTTTTTCCCATCGCTGGGCTTCTGCCTGCTTAGCAGACCCAGAGGCCCTTCCCCACACTGTATGCTCATTAGGAGCTCGAAGCAAAAGCTAAGGCCATTCTTCAGGAAGCTTTCTCCCTCCCGGTTCAGTCTGCCTAAACTGCTTCCCATCAAGGGTTTCTCTTCATAGTGCAGTCAAGGCAAGAAGTCAGAAAGAAAAAGTTCTCCCAGCTTTCTGCCCTTCCTGGTACCTCAGAAAAGTCCATCCAAGAAACAAGACATGCTCAAGAGCCAAGGTTTGTCCATGGGTCATGCTGCACCTGATTTCTGTTACTCCTCTAGCTGAATTCATGGCTTTCTTCTTGATACCCATCTAATCTCTCCTGCACCCCAAGATGCTTCTTTTTTATTTCTATCAGTGCCCTAAAGTGTCTGATGGTAGTCTTTAGGACAGATTACAAACCTTGCAGCTCTCTCTCCTTTTGGGTGCAGACTTTGGACTACACTGAAGTCAAGAGAGACCTCGTGACTTACGCTGGCCGGTAAAATGTGAGAGATGGCCACTTCTGAGCAGAATCCTGCTGCCATGGCTATGGAAGCCTGTGTTGCAGTGAAGCCCCCGTTAGCTCCATTGGGAGGGGTCTACGAGAGCACAGCACATGCTCACCCCATCAGACAGGTAGCGGGAGTAAGAAACTAACCCACGTTGCTTTAAGCCAGTAAGGTTTGGGATTTTTTTTTTTTTTTACTGTGGCAGAACCTGGGCTATTATAATTGATAGGCTTTCCAAAGCAGTGGACCACATTTTTACCTGAGCTGCCGCATTGCCTCGGGTGGCTTCATGCTTCAACCACATAAAGACATCTCCATCCTCTTTGGTCTGTACCTTGAGCGTTTCATCATCCTTCAGTCTAATTGTTTCAACATACGCCTGGAAAGGAAGGAAGGAAGGGAGACAGGGAGGGAGGGAAGAAGGAAGGAGAGGGAAGGAGGGGGAGAAGGGAAATGTCCAAATGATTTGGGCATGCAAGAGCCAGACGTTATTCTTAAACTAGCAATTGCTCAAGTAAAAAACTATATGAATAATTGAAATATGAGGTGTGCTCACGATGCCACGAGATCAGATTCTTCTTAAATGAATGTATCACATCACATCTATCCAAATGGGCATTTTTGTTCCTATCAAAGCATTTACCCTGGGAGGACAAAATTTCCTCCACTTCTGCTTCTGCTGCTCAAGCTTGTTCAGAAGACCACTTTCACGCTACTGATTTCAGAGCCAGATTACACACAGCATCAAAAAGGGTAAATCAATATTTTCTAAGTATAACCTTGGGTTTTTTTTTTTATCCCAAAGTGTTATTATCCTGCATGACTAACCCTTCTTATTTAGCGGGCTCAGCTTCAAATGTCTTTTGGCTATTTCCAAAAATTAAATCTACCCTGGAAAAAAAGAGGGCATGTTCACTCTGAGGACGCGAGCAAGAATGTGTTAGAGGCTCTAAGGATGAACCCAAAGGGAGAGTTCACAAAATGTTTTGAATTGGCACACAGCCTCCGAGGTAGCCGACTCCTCTGAAGAAAATCAGACTCATTTTGATGTGTAAATTTTGGCTGTTTATCAAGAGACCAGTTCTGTTGTTTCACGGTCTCTCCTTACACATAATGAACTCTCTTTAACAATGCCATGAGGGGTACTGGAACGGGCTTCCCACGCCCTGCACATGCCACGGGCAGATGGTGAAAAAAATTGGATCTGCATGAGTTTGGGAAAGAAGCCTCAGAGGACAAAGAGCCAGGCCTGATTTCCCTTCTGACTCTCTTTGTTTGTTAGTTAAGAAACGTCCTTATATTCACGAACTCTGGCCTGCAGCCCCATTCCTGAGACTGACAGGTCCCTTCCGGGGGCAAGGGGGCGGGGTGGGAGCTGGAAAGTGGGGACGGTGCTGGAGCTCAGCACCCAGCAGGTATCACATCCTGCTCAGTGTCTCACCTGGAGAGGCCACCAAGTGAATAATAACAATTTGAAAAATGACACCCACTACCTTTTATTGAAACCATCTCTGTGCCGGATATTTAAAATTTTTATTTCTTACTTCATCCTCACCAAAGGCTGCGACCCAAATATCACTGTCCTCGATTTATAGGCAAAGAAACTGAGGCTCCAAAGGTAAAACCATGAGCTCACAGTCCCTTTGTAGAGCAGGCACGGAAGCCAGGCTGGCTTAATTCTGAAGACAGAGTGCTTTCCGGCTCCCCATAGTGTTGCCCTCTAGCAAGAAAGCCCTAGAATCCACTCTGTCTCCTTGACTCCGACAAGGGTGTGACCAATGAGCTGGCGTTTCAGCTCAAACTCCAGGGGACACTCTACTATCTGTGATTAGCCTGGAAATGGGCTGAAGCTTGAGTTATTCAAATAATGGAATTCCCAGCTAGAATTCTTTTTTCAACAGGAGAACTCGGGTATTTTGATTTTTGGTTGTTTTTCTTCTCCTCATTTTGTTTCTTTCTCTTTAATTTTTGTCACTGATATATCAGTAATGTTGCACTGATGATATATCACTGTTCTAATTGCTTTGCCCAAGCAAAGCATTGCTTCTTTGAATCTTTGCAACCTTATAAGAATATGACTGCCAATATTCCCATTTCTCTGATGTAGAAACTGAGGCTCAGAAGTTAAGTAACTCATCCGAGATCATATATTTAGTTCTTCAAACTTAGGAGTCAAACTCAGGCTGGCCAGCAGTGGGGCTCATGGGCCTCACCACCAGTGAAGGGCTCATACATCTGAGAGGAAGCAAACGGTAGACTGTTCCGTTGTCTTCCCGGAGACATAGTGAATTCAAACAGTGTCATGAGGAGGGTCTTGGCAAAGGTCATGTTTATGGGGGATCCTGGGCAGCTGGGCATAATTCTGAAGAAGAAGGAACACTTCTGTCCTTTGTATCACTGTCCCCTGGACCAGCCCCTTCTACTCATCTGGGTCGTGCCATCAAGCTTTGCAGCAGGACGGGGCCATTAAGAGCACAACCTTTCACATCAGACCAAGGGGAACTCTAACTCACCACTAACTACCCATGGGCCTTGGGCCACTAACTTTACTGAGCCGAGATTCAGTCTCTGCATCCACAAAACGGAGCTTAGCACGGTACTTGCTATATCAAAAGCATTCAACCTATCAGCCATTATTTTTCATAATATTTTTTTATAATTTAAAAAAATATTTTTTATATTTTTTTATAATATCAGCCATTATTTTTTATAATAGAAAGGCCTAGGTTCAAACTGAGGCCCCATGACTCATTTGCTATGTGACCTTGCGCAGTTCTTTAGCTTCTCTGAGTCTCAGCTGCCTGCTCTGTAAAATGGGAGCTGACCTCATAGGGCTGAGTGAGGCTCAAATGAGATGGTATATACAGAGCTTCGCAGAGAGGATGGCATATGCTAAGCTCTCAGCGACGGAACTCATCATTTGTTAGGTCCTTAGTTCGCCCTAACATGACAAAGGCTGACAGCAGTTCAGAACATCCACCCGCCTGTGGACTTTGCGGTTTCATGCAGCTCTTGGCCTTCTGTTGTGGGGATGGTCTTTCTAGAGAATGTTATGCTTTAGAAGATGGAAGAAACAGAATCTGAGGAGGGGGCGGTGGGGCTGGAAACATTTCAGAGAGCTCATACCATGGGCTGGGCTCCACTAGGCGCACATCATGTGGACTAACTTACTCAAGCTGCAGTGACCACATGAGATGCGCACCATTGTGGCACCTACCTGAAGGGTGAAAAGCTGTACAGAGACAGGGGTGAGGAAAACTACCCGAGATTTCACACCCAGTGAACCGCAGACCTGGGACCCAAACGAGGCAAATCTGGCCCTGGGGCCACACCTTAATTGTCTGCCACTCCCGGGCAGCTGGTTGCCTCTCCGTGGTGCTGGGATCCCTATGGCTTCTCCTTGGTGCTGGAATCACTATGGTGGCCACTAGCGCCACATCAGAGCCACATGCCTGGGCCTTCTGTGAAAGCCCACCACCTACAAGGACATCCGATGAAGGAACAACCCCTACAAGCAAGCAACGCTTGGTGGTTCGTTCATTCAAACCATGTTTTGTGACCGGAGAATGATGCTTCAGATGGAGACATCCCAAGCCAGGGAGAAGTTGTGCTGGGCAGAGTGACGGTGTGGGGGGTGGGGGCCAGAGCTGGGTAGAGGCGGCCAGGGACCGAGAGGCCCCACCCTGACCAGTGCCGGGATTTCTGCGGCTTCTGAGGGGTTATTTTTGTTGCTGTGTTATAAATCAAGGTCTCTAGAATGAATATTTCAGATCCCGTACTGCTGAACAGGTCAGAGGGGGCCCACTGTCTGGAGACCGTGCTGTCCTCAAAGCCCCCACATCCGGTGTCAGAGGAGATGCCACACTGCCCGTCCCCGTGCTTTATGCTCTTTCCCTCTGCTCAGCCTGCAGGCTACAAGGGCCGTGCTCACACCGTATCCGCTATCTGCCATTGAGCACAGAACAGGGCACAAGGCAGGGCAGATAGGAAGGTAGGGAGGGGTTGGGGAGGGCAAGGGAAGTGGTGGAGACAGGAAGAGAGGAGGAGAGAGAAAGAAAAGAGACAGAGCAAGGGAAATGTGTGAGAGAGAAGTGGGAGGAAGAGAGAGACAGAGATAGACTAGATAGAGAGAGAGGAAGGAAGACAGGGCAGGAATTTGAAAACCTCTTCGACTTTGCAACTGGGTAGCTTGCATTTTCCCGAGCATCTGTATTCTCTGGAGTTGCGAGATACAATGGCTTAGCCAGATCCCCCTCCACCCCACCCTCCAGGGACTCAGGAGCCTACACTTAAACTGCTTGCCTCCACTAACTTCCCACAAGCCCCGTGGGAACCGCCAGTCAGAACCTGCCTCTCGGGATGTTTAAAGTCAGCTATAATGCCTGGCTCCCAAGAAGGGGTGTGTGTTTTCTTTGTTAAAATTTAACATTTTAGAGATTTTTATTCAAGTAAGAATGGAGTGATATCAGCTGTAAGGATAAGTACCCCAGATTCCCAACCAGGGGATAGAAAGGCTCCATGTGAGAGGGGCCTAGAGCTCCGGGTGCTCGCGGTCCACTGAACACTGGTGGCATCAAATAGCACCAGAGAGTCAATAGGACAGTGTAATGACTCCACGTTTGTCACTGGATGCACCACACTCTTACCCCATCTAGTGTCCCATCGGCAAACCCTGGGTGCCAACGGTGTGTCAAGCACAGCGCTGGACATTGGGGTTACAGATGTGAACAGATGAGGAGCCTGTGTCGGGGAGCCTACAGTCTCCTGGGGAAGTCAGCTCTGTGACCCTGTCCTTCGCACCCATCCTAAAGGCAATCACAGGGGTATACCCGGGTACCATGTTCCCCCCATAATAGGACATCTGGAGGAGGAGGTGATGTCTGAGCCCAGGGTCAAGTAGGGGGTTCAGCAGGCAGGAAAAGAGGAGTGTGGAGAAGCAAACCAGGCAGAGGAGACCAAACCAGGCCAGGAGGTGAGAGCAGCAGCCTGTGGCCAAAAGTATGGTGTCACCAGAGTAGACAGGCTGAGCAGGGATTACTGACAGCTGAGGCTGGAGAAGGCAGATCAAGAAAAGCCTCCTATACCAAGCGACCAGCTGAGCTGAGATCTTGTGGGACAGCACTTCTCAACTCTGGCTGCACATTATGAGCATCTGAGCTTTTTAAATATGCTTGAACCACAAAGGCTTGAACCTACAAGTCTGTATTTTTTTCAATAAATACAGTACTATGAATATCTGTTCTTTATGATTTTCTTAATAACACTTTTTGTCTAGCTCACCTTATTGTCAGAATACAGCATATAATACACATATACAAAATACGTGTGAACGGACTGTTTATGTTATCTGTAAGGCTCTGGTCAACAGTAGGCTATCAAAGTTCGGGGAAGTCAGTTATACGTGGACTTTTAAATATTTTTATAAAATTTTAAGTATTTTAAATAAAACATATTTTAAATATGTGGGGGCATCAGGGCCCCTAACCCTTACATTGTTCAAAGGTCAAACTAATACACATACACATATACACATATGCCCCGGCCTCCCCAGTCTGTCACTTCAAGACCATGGGGTGAAGCCCGAGCAGAGCTATTCTTTAAACCCCCAAGTGAATGTGATGTGCCACCAGGTTGAGACCCTCAACTGTGGACAGCCTGCTTTGGCCTCAATGAGAAGAGAATGGATGGGACAAGTCCAGTGACAGAAAGACCAGTCAGGATGTGTATTGATTTGCTGTGGCCACCACAACAAAGCACCACAGACTGGGCAGCGTAAACCACAGACATTTATTTTCTCAAAGTTCTAGAGGCTAGATGTCCAAGATCAAGATATTAGCAGGTTTAGTGTCTTCTAAGGCCTCTCTCCTTACCATGCAGATGGCTACCTTTCTACTGTGTCCTCCTGTGGTCATCCTGCTCTTTTATCTGTGTCCTACTTCCCTCTTCTTGTAAGGACTCCAGCCATATTACACCAGCCTCCCCCCCAATGACTCCATTTCAACTGAGTTACCTCCTTAAAGCCTTTACCTCTAAGGAGAGTCACATTCTGAGGTACTGGGGGTTAGGGCTTCAACAGGGATGGGAAAGGGTGGGCACGATTCAGCCCAGACCAGGGGGTTGTCTAGTGGCTCACGGCAGAGATGACGAGGGACAAATGTCATGTGGGGCAGCAGGACTGCGGATTGGAGAGAATGGGCAGGTAAAGGTAGGATGACTGTAACTGATGGGATGATGGGGGGCAGGGCAGCTCCTTGGCTGCCAGCACCATGGACAGTGGTGTCACCCATGGAGGAGTTTTGGGGGACAGAGAGGGGAGGTGGTGTGTTGCCGTCACAGTGTGTTATGATTGCAGGTGGGGGAACGTAAGAAAGAAAATCTCAGCTGGAGAAGAAGGTCTGAGTGTCATCAGTATGTGGAAGGCAGTTGACACCAGGGATGTGGATGAGACCTCTGCCCCTCTAGCAGGTGCACAGTGAGGAAGCTAGGGACCAAACCCAGTGGAAAAGCACGTTCCCAGGAGCAGAGAGAATGAAAGAAACTCATTTGCGATTAAGCCACAAAAACAAACAAAACCTAGCAGCTTCTTTCTCTTTCACCTGAGGCAGAGTCCTGCTAAATCATAGAGAAGGGACATGAAGCGAGATTATGAATAAAGAAGATGAAATGATGTAAGCCACAAGTTACATAAAAGAGAAAATGAAGCAAGAATCAGGAAGGAGTTACTGACGAATCCTTGGTTTGTTAATTAGAGGTCTGGTTTTCCGCATCTCCTCATTTGTTACGTGCTGCTGGTGAATTAATAGATTTCTCAACAAAAGGACATTTAAATCAATGTATGACACCTGCTTAAATTCTCAAGAAGCCATTAATTACACATTCTTAAGAAAATGAGCGAGGATACAACTCTCCTAACCGTATAATTCTTATCTGTGATTCTTAATCACACGACTTTCAGCTGCAAGATGGACCTCCTCTATTCATCTTCCCTGGTTCTGACCAATTAAACATTTTCTTTCATAATCGTAACATTGCATGTGCCAAATCTTCAAAAGAAAAGGAGCTTGTTAGCAACATGCCATTCTCCATTGCTAATTTATGCTGAATTAGAATTCTTAAAAGTATAATGTATACATAGAGGACATTATTAACACATTTAAGCTGAGTAGAATAACCACACTATGACTTTGTGGCTCGTTTTTTTGTACAGATTTTTTTTTTCAGAATAATTCCTTTCTAAAAAACAACAACAACAACTTTATGGATTCATAAATTAATTCCTGTCAAACTGAGGTCCAATTTTCATATAGCTTATATACACTGAGGGAATACAAACAATAATGACAAGATTATGTGAGTTTATTCAGTATAAATCACCATTTTCTGATGGAATTAGAATGGCTCTAGAGATGGTCATTTGGTGTTTCATAGTTTGACACAATTTTAATGGTCACTGACAGCATATACCTTTGAGTCATTTATTTTGAAACCATATGGTGGCCACTGTAGATTTCATTATTTCCTTTCTAGGTGCCATCCATTCCCAATCATCAAAGTGCAAGTTTTCTGCACTATGGATTTCTGAGTGCAATCCAGGGGCAGCACTGGGGAGGAGTGAGTGGGCAATTTCCCAGTTAGCCGCTGAGGCTAAAGTTCCACGATCCTCACCTAGCCGGGCATATCCCCTGGGCTCGCCGAACAGAAGCAGGGGAAATCAAGAATTTATGGCCACCACTGGGGCCAAATACGGCCATGCAGCTTATGTACTATTTACAGTGCACAAACCCAGGTTTCCCGTTTGCTCATATATTTTCCCTGGCAGAGGCTATATGAGCAAATCCTAAAATATTTACTATCTGGTCCCTTACAGAGAAAAAATTGCCAACTCCTGGTAGAGGTGGCTTGCATTTCCTCTCAACTTGACCACCTCAAAGGCTATGACCATCACAACCTCTTAAACCCTTCCTGGATAAAGAGGATACATACAAATACATTCCAAGAAGCCAACTATGCCATAGTGTACTCCCACGGAATGCAGACCTGCCTCAAGTAGAGGCAGCTTTCCTTGAATTCTTACACCATCTGCTTACACCCTTTTATTCATGGTCCTCAAAACAAACCATCAGTTGATCCAATGTAACATGTTATGTATTTTTTGGCAGATGTGAGCCACTAATATCTTGGCCCAATGAGTCAATAAGATTTGGGAGCTTACAGAACTAAAGGCTAGAGTTAGGTAACCTTAATCAGGCTGAGGCAGGCTTCAAATATCACATGTCAGTCACTTGGAAGCACTGAGCTAACAAGGCTCATACGATGGGGACAGATATTGCTCAAGGTGGCCAGCACTGGGAACATGGTTGGGGATGGAGCTCGCTTCCTCACAGCAGACCCTGCTTGCTGGCTGCACATTGATGGGAGCCCTTGGCTTACTGCCCCTGCTCAATTTGACCCAATCCCTAACATCTCCAGACCCACCCCCTTATAAGGTCTTGGAACAAAGAAAAGGTGTCTATGTTTCTTGTACACATTTTTTGCAAAATCAGAATCTGTCCAGGGCCAAATCTATTCTTCCCATGCTAGGCCTTTGGCTCGTGAAGAGCTTTTCATGCATGCGTGTAGGAATATTCCTGCATTCAGCCTAAGAACACAGCCAGGAAATATGAATTGGAGAGTGCAAGATAGCTTTTCTCTCCATTCAATTATGCTCATCCTCTGAAGACCTGAAAATGAGCCAGCCACAGGTGCAGACGCTATATAAAATTGTTCAGGAAGCCCCCGTAAACAGGGCCATAACCATCTCCACCCACTTCTTTATCTTACCTGATCTCCCTGTAGCGTGTGCTGGTCAAGGGGTGTCTTCGTGGCAATGTTGCTGTAGTAGGCATAGGACAGCTCCCAGTCCAGGGGGTAGTTGTCAATACCCTGGTAGTGTTTGTATCCAAGATTCATTGAAGACAGCCTCTCACTGCCCTGGCCTCCTACCAAACTGTACAACATGCCCTGTTAGGAAGAAATTTACCAAGTGTTCACAGGATTGTAGAAAAGGTCATAAAATCCTCACATTGAAAGGTCATCTGGCCCTATTCCTATATATGAACCTAGTCATTCCAGAAACAAGTTAACAGGCTTTAAAAATATTTTTTAGGAAAGAAGCCACAGCAACTTTCTAATGGTTTACAAATTCTAGCTCTCTGTCCTTCTTAATGCCTAATATTATGATTACTTGACTTTGGCCCTTCCCTCCATGAAAACAGGGATTGTCCCCTGATTTCTCTCATAGAATCTTTTTGTGTATCTGTCAACTATTCTAAGGATTCCTGGTCCTCTTCACCTACCTCACCTATGGCAGATGATATGAATAGTGGCCTTACACTCTCAGAATGTTAGTGTTGAGAAGGGTCTTTGGAGGTCAGCTGGTCTAACAGCCTCATTGCATAGTAGAGGAAAGAGGGGAGAGAGGGACTTGAAGTCATGTGTCTATGGCCCACCAGCCACTTTGTGACAGAGACAAGGCTACAATCTTCTTCACTATTCTACCTTTGTTGGGGACTGCCTTGGGGACTCAGGAAAGCATCCTATCAGTCACAACCTCCAATAAGCCTCCAGAGACATACAAAAAGCAGTCACATAGAAGGAACATGGAACTCCCTGGGCAGATTTAAACAACATGAATTTCTTCAAATCCTGGATGAACAATCCTATGTGCAGACTTGAAAACTTAAAGTGGTCAGGAACCAATCGCAGCACTTATATAAATGGGATCGCAAATGTTTGGCAAAAGGCGTAATTAATTGGGTCTCAGAACCACAAAGGGAACAGTCTGCTATGGCTTTTGTATTGATGGTAGAAGGCTGGTGGTCCTTGCTTAAAGGTCCAAATGACTTCACTTAGCTCACTAAGCTATCCAGTCATGCTGGATAATGCTCCTATAGCCAAAAGAGTTAAGTAGTTAGAAGAACTGGGTGAGAGGCCCCTATTCTTGAAGGAGTGTCCCAACTCTTCCTTAGAGTACATCGTCATATCTCCCAGCTTGTGTCCAGAAAGGAAGTGCCCTTTCTCACTCTCTGAAAGAAGAAGATCCTGAACTTTACAGAGCTCTAGGATGTTTTTCTTGAGTGTCAATATTTTTAAAGGACTCCACGGAGCATGAACAGGTCCATCTTCCACCTGGGGTATGACAGCATCACTCTGCAAATATAACGCCGGTGACTGATGTTCCTGGAACCCATGAAATACTCTACCTGCAGCTGATCCCGAGGCACATTTAATCCAGTTTCATAAAAGACTGCGAGGTAGTAGGATGCTTTATGGTATCCACAGCAGCTAGAATCCATCAGAAAGGGGACTACAGAGCTAATTTGGTGAAGACCATCAACACTGGAGAGTCTCTTTACAGCCTTCTCAAATATCCTCCCGCCGATTTCTAATACAGATTCATTTTGGTTCCTTGGCACTGTAAATAACCACAATTCACAGCACACACAATTAATTACCATGGGATCGACATGGCTTTAGAAAGAAGAGGGAAAAGCCAATTAAACCACCTGAGTTATTAATATGGCTGGTTAGGCAGAGCCTTGAAATATACCACCTTCCAGGGAGGTAAATTAAACCCTTCAGGGATGCCACGTGTCATTCTGCAAATAGCTTTTTCTTTGGCACTGAATGACAGCCTAGTATCCTGGGAAAAAGGATATGCCTTATATATAGCTGAGAAAGAGCCTCCAGAGAGTAATTTACTCAGTGTAACTCACCACCAAATCAGGACCACCAAAAGTTCCAGAGAGACTTTTTTTCTCTCTGAGACTCTCGGAAGAAGAACGTGTTTTACCTCAGAAATAGTTCCTAGGTGCTGCTCTAAAGAGTTGAGCAAACGAAACTTATTTTGAGGTGCTTTCTTATCTTTCGCCTCCAGCTTTTCTTGAGGGTTTCTAAATACAACGAAAGGAATGAGTCAACTTTTACGGAGGGCTTACAAAATGCCAAATACTGGATTAGGTGTCTTATGTAAATTATGTCATGTAATCCGAACAATTTTATGAGGTAGGACTATTATTAGTGCCCTCACTTTTCCAATTAGGAGTTTGAAGCCTGGAGACATCAACTAACCTGTCCAACATTACAAAACCCAGCCAGTGGCTGAGCCCAATTTTGAGTTCAGCTTTGCGAGGCATGAAAGCCATTCCTACTTACTCTGCTGCACCGACTTGCTGATGAATAGGCAACCAGACGTCTTAATAAGTACCTTACCACTACGGGTAGAACCTTCTCTATGCAACTGCCTTCAGCTGTATGATATTTCCTTTCACCTAACCATCCCATAAATCTGATAAACATTTAAGCCCAAAGTAGCAAGTTATAAACAAGCCATAGCCTTATAACGTAAGGGTGACAGTCTTCCAAAGTATGCCTACACCATTCATCTCTCTCGTTCCTTAATTTAGGCAACAAATGTTTACTTTCTAATCTTTGTATCTATTAGATGATATGTTACAAAGGACCATACAGGATTGTATAGATATTATTTACGTTTAAAGAGACATGGTCAAATCTTTAAAAAAAAAAAAAAAAGGAGACATAGTCAACTTATCTAAGACTAAAATTGCATCTGCCTAAAAGTTGTTATGTCCAACATTTTTCTTTTCTTTTCTTATTCTATCCAAAATAAAAATGTTACTAATAACTTTTAGGAGGCAACAAGAGACCCATTCTATCAGCACTCAACTAAGGAGTAAACAGTGATGAATCTCCAATGTGGGAAAACTGAAATGGGCAGGTCTGAGATTGGATTTACTTAAGGGCAAGTCCCTCGCAGAGTCCATGCTAAAAACAGAGGCCATTGGGATCCAAGGATGATATTGCAAAAGCCAAGCCATTGGTTACGAGCTGGTGCCAGTCCTTTTGAGCACACAAGAGGGCCGGCTGCCCCGAGTGGGGGACACGTGCTTCCACCTGCTGAGCTGCGGGAAAGGAGCCCACCCCTGCCCAAACCAAGGCAGTCTCATCTCCTGGCTCCTGGAACTCCTCACCCCAGCCATCTCCTAGATTCCAAAAAGCAACAGCGGGGTCTACTTTTACTCTCTCGATCCCAAGCAATAGATGCTTGCTGAACATGAAAAAATGACCTCACTGAACAAATGGAATTTACTTCTCTTTCTGTATTTTTTAATCCCTAAAGAAATAGCTGCTTGTTTATGAAAAAAAAAATCAAACAATACAGATTTGTATAAAATAAAATCAGAAGTGCCCTCTTTCCCAATCCCTCTTTAATAGTGAAGACAAGCATTGTTAAAGGCTTGGTGTGTATGCTTCCAGAATTTTCCCTTTGCACAGACTAAAACTCATATACACATCTATCTGTACTGATACACATGCATTTTCTTTCCGAAAGCTCCTATAATTCTGACCCTCAACTTTCTTGTTTAAATTAACCACGTATCATGAGTATTTGTCTGCGGCTCTCAGAAGCCCATTCTTTCTAAAGCTTTGCTAGTATTGCATTCTGTAGCAGTGCTGTGTCCCCAGACAGTTCTCTATTTTTAGACCCTTGGGTTGCTTCCAGTGAGTTTGCTATAACCAACAACGTGGCAGTGAACATCCTTGAACATTTCCCTCTGCTCATCTGTTGGGATATATCTGAATAATAACACCCTTTTTCACCAGGAGTCTGGGGATCTCATTTTGGATTTTCCCTTTGAATAGTTGAGAGAATTCCATCCTACCCAACCATTAGGCAGGATAAGAACCTTCTCCACTGGATTTATTATGCACTGCAGCACTCAGATGAAGTTGCAAAATAAATCCTACTCCTACCTATTCATACACTTACTTTTAAATATGTACTCATCTCAGATGCACCTCTGTGCATATTCTGAGCAAAGCAACATTAACATTTTGTTAATGATTCATCCCCACCTCACCTGCTCTGCCAAACACCTAACCAAGATGATCAGTTTTGCCTGAGTACCCGCAGACATGGGTTTTGTGGGCTCGGAGGAGAGAGGAGACTTCAAACCAAATGAAGCTCCAAATGAAACACTTGCCCCAGCTGACCCCTGGCACAGAACCCCAGAAATCATTAGCAAGAGTGCGCAGGTAGCCGGGATTGCTGGAGAACAGAGAGCAAAAGGGGAATCCTTCACCAAACTCAAAGCCTTAGCACAAAAAACCTGCAGACTGTAAGCGAAGCAGATTGAAAAGGCTTCATTATTTCTTTTACATATTAAAACTTCTAACTCCTCCCCCAAATACTACCAATCAGTATTTCCTCTGCAGAAGAATCTAAACAAGTTTCTGCACTAGTGAATCTAATAATAAAAAAAAAAAGTCTAAAGTCAAACTGCTGTTTTTGCACATTCTTTAAAGTTCAAGTTCCAACTGCAGCAGAGAAGCAAAGCCAAGCTACCAGTGGTGAGTAAACTGGCAATTTCAAAATTAGTTTAATGAAATTGTTAATTTTACCATCTGGTTTAGCATATGCATATTTTTTTTCTAGTCGATCTGTAACTAAAAAACATGCTTGTTTATGGAGATGAACGGGCATACTGAAACAAACACACACACAATAGAAGAAGGAGCCACGTTCCCATTTTCTGGCTTCCTGCCCCAGAAGCTAAGGAAACAAGAGCCCAGCGCCCCAACTCCTTAACGCTTCCTATTTCCCCAGGAGTGCGGCATTGTTTGTTTTGCTCAGTTTTTCTTTTCTACAGCGATACCAATACCATACAGCGGTCATTGGCAGGTTCATCATTAATGGAGGCAAAAAGCAGAAAACGAGAAGGTGGGCCCTTGCTGGGGAGCTGGAGTGGGCATCTGATGGAGCATTCAGGAGAGAGGCAGACTCCTTCCTCGTGAGAGGGATGGGGGGTATCAATAGGAAAGTCATTTTTAGCTTCAAGCCTCCAAAAGGTGGAACACATCCAAAGTGCAAGTTGGAGAGGGAAGAGGAAGTGAAAGGAGAAAATGTCATGTAACCAGAAAAGGAAGTTCTCACCCAGTTTACTCTGTAAGAAAAAAAACACAGCATATTCCTCATCTGCATCCTGATCCCATGAGCCCCAAAGCCCCAAGGAAGAGGCTTATTTCTCAAGAGTAAACTGATTGGGGAGCTTGGGTGGTTCAGTGGGCTGGGCTTCGGATTCTTGATTTTGGACTCAGGTCATGATCTCAGAGTCCTGAGATCGAGTCCTTTGTCCACGCTCATTGGGGAGTCGGGGAGTCTGTGTCTCTCCCTCTGTGCACCCCCACCCCCACCACCAGCCCCTCCAGTTCTCTTTCCCTAAAATAAATAAATCTTAAAAAAAAAAAAAAAGTAAACTGCTTGTATTCTTCTGTATGCAAGTTTTCCGGGTTTGTCCCCGTAATTTCTCTCCCTCCTTTCTCCATCCCCTCCTCCCCCAGGGCTGCCATCACGGGTCCTCTGGGCAGGAACAGTGTGGCTCTCTCTGTTTTCTTCTTTGTGCTTCTGTGTATTTGTTTTAAAAAACGATAATGTATGCTTTCTTAAATAAAAATAAAGATGAGGGTTTTTCAATGAACGGCACTGAAAATAGCTCTTAAAGGACACAGTATCCTGGTGTTATTAAGAAACATTACTGTATGTCTACCATTTCCGTGCTCTGCATTTTAGTGTTTCCAAATATACATTGCAATTGTTGGGGAAAATAGGAACAGTCAAAAGCAAACCAGTTAAGGCCAGCATCCCCTTGGCATATTGCGTGGGGCCTCCTCTTGCTCGGCACTCAGCACTCCTAAGCCTGGGGCAAGGCAGGCCAGTCCGGAACAAAAACAAAAGGAGCAAGATGCAGATGGCATCAGCCTGGGAGGCGAGCCCACCTCAGACTCGGCCTCCTCCCGAGACCTATTTGCTGGCAGACCTTGGACTTCCTGTAACCACAGCTCGTGGGTTCAGAGCTGCCCAGTCCAGAACCAAGGGAGGGAAGGGAGTAAACAGTTTTGGCCTCAGGGCAGATGTCCACAGGGGCCTGCTGGCCAGCTCACCTGTCCCACCTGCCTGTCCCTCCCTGTCTTGGCACCCCACCTGCAACTCAGTCTTTGTAGCTTTCCTCCCTCCTTTCTACCCAAAACAGCTCTCTGGCTTTGAGCCCCACATCCACTCCCATCCCTGCATCCCCGCAGCCTCTGACCAGCAACCCCACATCCCCACCATCTCTCCTCCCTGGATGTTGGAGCCCCACTCAAAGGGTTTTTGAATTCTAAGGGTTCCATTTTGATGAGAAAGTTGCAACAGGAGAGTAAAAGAAATAGCCAGCACACCTCTTAAATAATGAAAAAGCATACACCCTAGAATCCTACTATCCTAGCATTGGAAAAAGCCCAAATGCTAATAGGGCAATTTCTATGCTCTAACAGCAGCCATTTTCCTAAAGAATTGGAGGTTCCCCAGGAAATGACACAGAGGGTGACCAATCAGAAGTCCTGAAGTCTTGAACA